TTTCGGCTCCCGGAAACTACTAACAAATGTCAAGTTACAACTGAAACGAATTTCACGTCTTGCAGATTTGACGCGGAGTCACTTTGTTTGGGATGAAACATAACGCAGAAGGATTTGGGGGATTTGGGCTGTGAGGAGGGACAGAGATTTTTTGATCAGATATTTATTTCGTTCTGTTAGTGACTCGTGTTAACACAAATGAGATGGGAAATACTTATTTAAACCACTACAGTCCTTTAAATAACAGACAGAAAACTGCCTTCAAAATTAAGGTGTTTTTTTTAATCGCCCAATTTCGTACGCACCAAAATGCAACAAAAAAAAGTAAATCGAGACCGGGTCCGTTTTGTTGCGTTTATGCCTCAGTTTAACTGGAATCTAATGCACTATGTAACATTTTCGTTCCAGGGTAACAAAGTCGAGAGTTTGAGCATTTCTATCCAATGAACGACATTTGAAGAGTGATTTATTTGGCAATTGTATTTGTTTGTAAGTAAGGGTGTTTGGGAATTTGCTGGGAATATAAACTTTCTACATCGCAATAAGGGTTTATTACAATGATCAATTTGGGTGTATATGTCCTTTCCTCGTACATAATTTTGGCATTAAAATGCATAAGGGGGATGACTCCTAACTGCACGATGTGTGTGTCTGGACCTTTCACAAGATAGTCTGAACTACTGTTAAGGACGCTATAGCAGAAGCAGTTGTTTAGCCTTTTACCAGTCACTGGAACTGGTGTGTTACAGTTATTGATCTTTGCCTTTACAAATGGAGCATTAAATTATGCACAAGCGACAGTTTGTGCATAATTTAATCGCGGAGTCCTGTAGCTCAGTGGTTAGAGCAGTCGCCTTGCAAGCGAGAGACTTGGCTTCGATTCCCGGCAGTGCGAAGCTTCCTTACTCCACCACACGCCTGACAATAATCCCTCAAGAAAAAAAAATGAAATAATAATTTTGGTCACTCAATCCACGACTGTTTGTGGGACACTGCTGTGCGCAATTGGCTGCTGCGTTTCGCCCACAAAATATCCAGTTGATTCACTTTACAGTATATTCTGTGAATCGCTTTGAGTCGTCTCGAAGACGTGCAAAGCGCTCTATCAAATCCACGGATTATTATTATTTAACGTGATCCGTGCAGCACACGCAATGAGCTTCTGCTCTGACAAGGGTTGACTTATATTTTATAGATAAGGGAAGGTGCTTATAGAGTATCCCAACAGAGCCTGGATCGACAGAAAACGGTACACGCTTCACCGGGAGAGTGAATCCTAGGGCGAAATCCAAGGCATCATCATCATCATCATCATCGATGGGATCTTGCCAAAGAGTTTTACCCTAATACATCAGAGACCTATGGGGTGGGGCGTAGATTGTTAATAATACAAACAATAAGATGTCTCAAAGCGCTTCACAGAATATACCATAAAGTGATCTTGAGGTGTGCACACCCAGAACTGTTTATAGAATAGGTATTGTTAGCCTGGGGGTATCTCACTTCAGCAAATGTAACTAACACACATGCTTCGACAATGTGCAGATGTACTTTTTACAATGTTGTTCTTTTACAGGACGTTAATTCCCTTCAGGCCGTCTGTGCCTGTTCCTTGCAAATAAGATGTTCAGTGTGAAGTTCTCAGTGCATCGTCAGTGCATCGTTACTGCATTTTCTTTTGGGTGTGATAAACCTCAGATCAGGTGTATAGTATTTGACAACTATTAGCGACAATTGTTAAATCGAATCCTCAAGACCCCCTTCTTAGTGGTTTCTGGGTCTCCTCACACTGGTGGGAAAAGGGAGAGAGAGAAAGAGAAAAAGAAAGCAAAATAAAATTGTTACACACTGGAAAGGTTCCTCTTTATTCCTCAGCCTCGAATAGCTGAGGAATTACTTTCTTCAAGTGTAAAAGAAGGAGAACTGATCGCCTGTTCCCATTCTCTGATTTATTTCCGGGAAATGCGAAGCGGATTCGAAAAAGGTTCGTAGTAACATTGAGTATCTCTGATCTGGAGTCGAGTCTGAATTGCGGGATTCGCTCAGATGCGAATCACACGTTGTAGATGTAGTTTCCAAGAGTGTAAAGTTCTGACCAAGAGCCGGACAGCAACGTGGGTCTGTGCTGTCTGCTGTCTGAATGTTACTTCAAATCTTACATTACTATTGGGTCTCCCAAGTATTGTCTCGATGAAATACTACATTATACTTGAAATACTGCCAAATGACCACTTTGACAGAACATTCATGCAATAGTTTTTTTTTAAAAAGAGCTTGTATAGCTGCACATTTCACCGAGATGTTTGAGGACTGAGTGCTCCTACGTAAAGTAAATGTATGTGCTTCAGTTTAGTTCAAGGCTCGACCTCCCTACACAAGTCTGCTCTTAAGAACACACACAGAAGGACATTCGCCCCATCGTGTCCCTGTTGGTTCTTTTGAAAGAGGGTTCAATGCAGTCCCATTTTCCCCACAGCCCATCAGATTATTTCTGACTGTAACACCACCGATGCCATACAGGCATTGAATCCGTGAAATCATTTCAGCCTTTTAAAAATCCATATCCAGGCCAGCAGATTCAGAATATTTAATCTTAGCTTCATTTAAGATGGTTCTGGGCTGCTCTTGAATTCGCAATAGTGCATGTTTTTTTGTGTGTCGTAATGAGCCGACATGAAGTGTATTTTTTTCTGCAAAAGACCAACAACACCTGCACCGACGCCAATTGCCTTCAGCATGTGATCGACTTCAGTGATCCCAGTGGAAATCGGTGACAGCGCAGTGCTGACACTGTGTGGACGAGAGACACTGTGTGTGTGTGTGTGTGTGTGTGTGTGTATATATATATATATATATCTTTGCTCGTCTGTAACAGATACAAATCTCGTTTCAAAACTCCAGCCGCATTTCACATGCTTTTTTTTGAAAAAAATACGAAAATGACTATTTTTAGTTTATTCTCCGAATTGAGTACATTCTTAAGGGATAGGATATCCTCAGCGTTCACCAAGACATTAGTTATAATCTTGATAAACTTGAAACTTGCGTATTACTGTTTATTTTAAACTGGATTACTCAGCTGTCACATTTGTAAAAAAAAACGAGTTTTAATACAGTACAAGGCTCATGGTTAAAATTCCACGTCGCTGTAATACTTCATTGATTTTATCCAGGAAACCTTTCTTTTAATTAAAAAAACCAGACAATTTGCCTATGTTAAATAGTACCATATTATAATGGGGAACAACCTAACGCAATAACTACGCATCTCTCTCACTGGAGAATATATTAACTCTTGAATTTTGGTGATTGTACGTTGAAATCCCAACAAGTGCAACAGTTTTGTGTTGCTATGTGATCATATTTTAGAAGTGAACGAACGAACCCAGTTGAATTCCCCTGGTTCGGTTTCGGTTTTCCACTTGTGCAATCCAAGGAGCAAATGGAGTAAATCAGACTGTTTTTTGAAAACGTCAAAATAGCTTGATTTAAGTGCAAAATAGTTTGCATGTAAAAATATAAACGCCAAAAATGCACACTTTTGTAAATTGAAGTGCCAACACATGCAAACACCTGCGTATTTTTTTAAAAAAAATCAGCTGGTATTTCAAATGAGTCAGATTCGCGTTTTTGTGGGCGACAGTGTATCTTAAGGTTGTTGGCAAATCAATTCCAGGAATATAACCAGATCCAAACGGCAACGGTGATCCATCCGAGTGAGCAGTTCCCACACTTAAAAGGCCCGCGTCAGGGAAACTGCTCATAAGGCACTTCAGAGAGTTGTTAATGGTTTTGCAAGGAGTACCCTGATGTAGTTTTGATCTCCAGATTATCCCGTGCGCGTCTCTGCCTCTGTCTCTCTGTGTGTGGGTGGCAATGAATTTAACAGTCCGCTCGGTGAGTGTTGTGGACTGGGTGTGATTGGGAAGAAGTGGACACTGATTGACCAGCCTGTTGATCGGGGCTGGCAGGTGACCCTCACCTCCCAGTCTCTCTTCAAGCACCGCACAACTGAACGTTATCCCTTTACGCCAAACTCAGATCAAAGATGTGAACTAATGGATTGCGACAAAACCTCGGGATTTTCTACAAGTTCAAAGGATCCGGCAGATAGTGTTGCCCAGTGACTAGATCTGATGCAGTATCGCCCCCCACCACACTCTTTGACTCTTTATTAGAAAAAAAAATCAACAATATTGGAAGTGCGTTAAATTAAATTAATTCATTCCATAATCTTGAGTTCAGTCATTTTTATTAAGGAAAACAAATATATCCGTATCAGCAAAGTTAGGTACGGATTGTGCGGATCTTGTTCATTACCATGTGCCCTATTAGTCCCCAAATTAGGGATGGAATCGTTTATTTGAAACCTGACCTTTTCGTTTTATTTAAATCCACGTTCATCATTAACAGCACGAGTTTGGTTTATTAATTTGCTGAATGCAAACACGTTCAACGAGTCTCGACAACATCCACAGTTGAGCCCATGTAAATCGTGTGGGTATCTCGTCTCTCTTCCACCCCGAAGCAATGTAATGTACGACTGCAAACGCCAATAAGAAGCGCATTCTTCCCATGATCTTTTTACGAATCGAGCATTAATTCCAAAGGGAGCAATTCAACACACGTTGTTGCTGAACGCGAAATAGTATCAAGACGTCTACGGTTTGGGAGGAAATTTGGGGGGTGGAGGGGGTGGGGGAGGTTAGAGAAGTGAGACTTGTTTAAAGAAGTTGATTGGTTCACCTTTTCTGACTCGCTGTGAAGATCAGATCAGAGGCGGTGAAACTTGGGAAGATGCTGCCCTCACGTCCCTCCTCTGAGGGTGATTGATGGACTGCTGACGACTTGCTCCGTCTTATTGTACCTCGGCTCGTCCACATCATCCCAGCCCGACCCTCCCATCCACCTCGGGGAAGCCCGGACACACCCAGCCCTGTGCCCACCAGGACCCGAAGGCAGCCCCACCTCTGCCACCACACCCACCTGCATCTCCCACCCAAACCCACAAGCGAACTCGGGTCGGCATCTGCAAACCGGATTAGTGGCCTCAAAGCCCTCGGGACACTTTTAACAGAAACCTAAGGGGTGGAGGAAAAAAAAAAGAGAGAGAGATCCGATTTGATGCCAACGCCGATGGGGTCCTTCGGAGACGGGACAAGAGGTCGGAGTTGCCCCCAGTGGCACTTCGCAGTCTGAGAGAGCGATTCCATGGCATTGCTTCTCCCGAACCATGACTGATGTGGTCAGGATCCGGTTTAAAGCGTTGCTAATATGAACTCCGTGCTCTGGGGCCTGTGGCTGCCTCTGCCTTTGATAGTCTTGTGGGTCACACCCCGAGTCTACTCGACATGGTGGTAAGTCACTCGATTTCAGGAATGTTTTTGGAGGGGGAAAAGGCAGAGTCCCAGCAGCTCCAGTGGGGAGGGAGAGCTGCAGTCTATTTGCACTGTAACTTAATTCACAGTTGGGACTACCGGGATCTCCCAATGCTCTCCCATTTCTACGGTGCTGAAAGCACGACGCAGACAACGACAAAAGCGCACAGAATTTACGCCCGATGTCCTTTTTTTTTGGTCTTTTTTTTTAAAAAAAAACACACGAGTTGGGAGATTCCTGTCTGAAAACTCCAGTATTTTCGTCTCACACGTTGCACACTCGCTGCAGAATAAATGCTGTTTGAAGCGCTTTGGGATGTCCTCTCACCCACCCACTCCCACTCCACGACGTGTAAAATACCAAATGTGAGAATGGTTAAATAATAATAATAATATTAATAATATTAACAATCGTTGCATTTCGATTTAGCGCCTTATCACGTCGTTGAAAACTCTTTGGATTTGACCGTATTTTGTGGGCGAAACAGAAATGAAACGAGAATTGTTGCATTGCTCAGGTTTTCGACTTGGGGGGGTGTGGGTGGGTGGGTGGGTGGGTGGTGGGGGTGGGGGGGTCAGCAAACCTTTTGGACAGTGTTGTCAGAGGAAGGTATTGTGGCTTATGCAATTGATGCCCTCCAAATAGGTCCCGCTGTTAATAAATGGTTAACCCGACAGGGAGAAACGACACCCTCCATCATCTCTGGAGCACGATTTGCTGGAAGAAGAGAAAGGGAGTTGGTTGGTGTGCAGTGAGAGTGATTTTACCGAGCGATCAGCATTTGCAGTAGCAGTAACATGGGTTAACTCACCCCAGCTATAGTGGCAGTAAATATCAAGCAACACGAAGGATCGAGAGTGCGAGGCTTTTTGCCTTAAACATTACATGGCGTTTCTTTTTCTTTGCAAGTTCCGAGTTTAAGTGGCAATTCACGGTTGCAAGGGGTCAGTGTAGGGATGGTGCAGACTTGCTGACCGCAAGAGACTCCTCTGTGTCCCGTGAAAACTTCTTCATCCCTGCAAAAAAAAAAGTGAGAATTGATTACAGTTTAAAGGAAATATTTACAAAGCATTTTTTGTTGCTGTTGATATAAAGAATCTGCGTCGAGGATAGCGGTTAAAATAGCGTTCATGAAACAGCTAACTTTCTGTCCACACCCGTCCGCACCCCCCATCACCCCAGTTTCTCAGTGGATTGATGTTTTATTCGTAAATGATATGTTTTTTTAAAAAAAATTATGGGCTCCTAACGGGCGAGTGAGAGATCTAATGCTTCACGTTTTTTTTAAATTGCAACACTTGTCTTTAATTTAAGTGCGACATCTGCAGTACTTTGTATTTAGTCTTTAATTTAATCTGGTCATCGTGCAGATCAAATGCACATTTTATGAAAGCCGTAAATGTGGAGAGAGAGAGTGAGAGGGGAGGAGGAAAAACACGCTTAGATGTCATATTAAATGACCTAAGTTTCATATGCTATGTGGGCAATGCACAAACTAAGCTATGAGACGCTTTATCAGATGCCTCGCACTCTACTTGTGAGCATCGTCCAAGGCGACTGGTTTGCTTTCTCTGGTCTCTCGACTGTCTGATCCGAAGCGACAAAATGTTGAGCAAAATTTTGTAACCCATAAGAAGTTGGTGGTGGGGTGGGGGGTGGTGTGTGGTGGGAATGTGAATTTTGATGAGAAATAAAATGTTCTGCTGTTTGGGGGGGTGGGGGGGTGGGGGGGAGAGAAAATGCTGCAAAACGCTTTAAAACGTATCAGTGAAAATTGATGCTGAATTTAACGAATAACAAACGCTTATAAGTGCATAAGAAGTGGATGCCTCAGTCACGGTGTGCACAAGAAATCTTCGTTTTTATACATGACAACCGCACGGCAGTCACACATTGAACTCGGAATTGAATTCCTTCCCCTCTGCAGTGACTGGACAGTGATTCTGAACCAGGACACTGCGCTGCTTAAACAGATGTGCAACATAATCAATCCAGCGGTGAGATGTGGCTGTTGTCTCATCTGTAGGGACTGGTCTTGTTACTGCCGCTTGTTGCATGAGCTCAGACTTAAAAATCCAAATGTTCGGTTAAACTGTCCCATTGCTGCCAATTACTGAGCGGTCACCGCTGAAAGACACGGTGAAAATACTAATGCAAGGAAAACGGCAGAGGGGATCAGTTCACTAGTTTAGAGGGAGCTGTGATGCACAACAACATTCGCTCTCTCTCTTACATTTTTCCTTTGAATGTGGTGTATTTTCCCTGGAAATCTTAAGAGATTCCCTTTTCCGCCAAAAGTCTTTCTCTTTCCTAAAACTCTTTCTCTCTGATGCTCTCTCATCATCGCCCCCCTCCCTTAACACACATGTATGTTTCACGCTCCTTTTTTTCCCCTTCTGGCCTTTGGCATCCATCTTGTCTGTTATCCCATTAGTTCAAGAGAAGGAGAAGATGTTTGTAACTAGACTCTTTTTGTATTTTCACCCACAAAATATAGTCAATTCGCTTTACAGTATATTCTGTGAAGTGCTTTGAGACATCTCGAAGACTCTATAGCAAATGCAAGGATGATTTTTTTTCTTCTGATGTTCTTGTAAGCACTTTCCTTCCACATCTATTCAGCAATTTAAACATCTCCCACATGATAAGCTAGTAGGACTAGTTTTGGATCAAAGTGATTTGGGTTCCGCCGGTGGAAATGTTGCCCTATTGCATCAGGGGCAATTGCCTTATGGAGCAATGCCAGAGCACTGTAGGTGGAGCTCAGCATTTCAGGCTGTTTTCCCCCGATGAATACATGTCATGTCTTGGCTTCGTATAATCACTGCCTGTGAAGTGCAACAATATTGTGTTCTCTACCATGATTATCCTAGCTCAATTGTAGAAGACCATTCATGTGGTTCTCCCCCCACCCCTTCCTGCTCGGCACCCAACCCTGCCACTGTGAAGTGCTCAGAAGAGCGTGAAGTGCACTAGATAAATGCAAGTTGTTGTTGTCGTTTGTTTTGTTTATAATTCTCTTTAGTATCTCTGACGCAGGTACATGGGTGCCCTTGGAACACGGGTGGTTTGCGACAATATCCCAGGCTTAGTGAGCAGACAGCGACAGCTCTGTCACAAATATCCTGAAGCCATGCAATCAATTGGAGTTGGGGCTAAGGAGTGGATCGCAGAATGCCAGCATCAATTCCGCCATCACCGCTGGAACTGTATCACCCTGGACAGAGACCACTCACTCTTTGGTAGAGTCATGCTGAGAAGTAAGTAGAATTTATCTGAAAGTTTTGTAGTTGTATATTTGGAACATCTATATCCTGTTCGAATTCAGCTGCTGAGCTGTCCTTCGAGATCTCTACAGATTGACAAAATTTGATCCATTCCAAATCCACCTTAATTTGGTCCTTAGTTCAGTCCCCATGATGAGACTTAAACTCATCGCAGTGTGACTGGCTGCCATTCCAATGCCATGCTGAGGGAGTTGTTGACCTTTGGGTGAGATATTAAACTGGGGTAAAGTTGATCTGTTCAGGTTAATGTTAAAGCATTGTTTGGGGCTGGAAAAAAAAGAAAAGGGAGTTTCTCCACTCGACAGTCTGCCAGATGCTATTCACTGTTCTCTTCATGGTTGCTTGTGGGACATTTTTGTGTACAAACTGGCTGCTGCTCTTGCCTGCAAAACACTTTACAGTAAATCATGTGGAACACTTTTGAAACATCGTCCTGACATGAAAGGTGCATATCAAATATTGTTTAATTTCATTCCAATGTTCATTTTAATTTGGTAACATTATAATTTGTGTGTGTGTAACATTATTTATATGTAATGTTTTTACATATTGCATCAAAGCATGGTGTCTAAATTCTCACCATGGATAGAGTAGTATTTTCATTTGATATAATGCCTTATTATCAACTTCTCAATGCATTTCAGAGGATTTTACTTGGCAAGTGTTGACAAATGTGAAAAACTCCCTTTTTTGATTAGTGCCATAAACTGTCTCAACGTCCATCAAGCAGATGGGACCTCAGTTCAACGTCCAATGCAAAGGATGACGCCTCCAGGAATGCAACGCTCCCCCAGCACTGCACTGGAGTCTCAACCTTGACTGACGACAGACATAATTTTCAGCATCTCAAATTCAGTGTAAACCTGTTTTTCATCAAGTGTATCAGTGTCCAGTGTAATGTCAGAGGTCTGAAAGGGAAGCTTGGTAATCAGCAAAGTTACATCTTGCCGTGCCTTAAGGGAGGAAAACTGATGCCCTATTGGTTTTACACCACGGAGAGAAACTATATCTAACTCAAGCACTGTAGCCCATTGAGCTTTATTACTGACTTGAGGTGGATTTGAAGCAGCTTAGATTGGAAACAATTGAGTTCATAAGGTGATCATCATGGATCCATAACATTCTTCTATTTAAATGCAATTTACAAAGCCATTGGGCATGAACTCTGGAAAATAAGTACTTTGGAAAGGGACAGGTACATGTTTTTGATAACTTGTGAAATACACCTAAATTGTAAAAAAATGAATCATGTTTAACTCCATTCAAAACCATTAGAAAAAAGGCTTGGTTTTAAAACCTTCAAAGTATTTAGTGCAGCCTTCCCAGAGTAGTTTAGTAAATACAGCCTTTCAAAATCTCATAATGTCTGTCTGACATATTTTCTCCAGAGGACAGTAAAATCTCCACATTGTCAATAAAAGTTTAATTTATTTCAAGCAACTGTGTGAGTGTTGAAGACAGGGCAGTATATAAGTGAAACAGGATATTGGATAGATTGGATTTGTCATAGCTGTGACCCTCTGCTGTCGCACAGTAACAGAGTGCTTATTTCTTACATTCATAGCCAAACACGAAAACTCATTTGAAAATAATATAAATTTCAGACCTTGTCTTCAGGGACAAAGCAGTGGTTCTTTTTTGTGGGAGAAAAAAATTGTTCATGTGCACTAAACTCACTCTGTCAAACTTTCAACTGCAGGGAAAGTTTTATGCAATGAGATTCCCAACTGAAGACGGACAATCAGAGTTCATTTCTGCCCATTCGTTTCTAAATGGTTCCTGTAGCAAGAGCTACACATTTATATTAGATCATGTTAAAAATAAAAAAGGAGTTATTTTAAAGGTAATGCTCTAGATTCCTTAATTAAAAGAATACTAATTTGGTACATTGTAATGACATCCTGGGCATACGCAACACAACACATGGACACAGCTCTCTTCTGCTTCTACATATAACATAAAAGAGTGTCCTGTTTTTCAATTTGAAGTTCTCTGTACTTTCAGAAAAAAAGTCAGTCTTCATATTCAATTTATTGCTTATATTTTAGGTTCAGACTTTATACAGTATATACTAAGTAACATCTTTTGATAAAAAGTTTGCTCTTGGTTCCGATCAGGATTACACACACATCCATCATATCCATTACTGGATCAAGCTGTTGTTGTGTTGTTTAGTCTTATGTTGAATTCGGAGAAGAAATGTGTTACATCAAGAACGGAGCTCATGTTAGACCAAAACAACTGAAGGGAAAACGTTTAGATAAGTGAAGGAAGATTATAAACAAAACTGGACCTAAAGTCGTGGACAGTTGAGTGATGTTCTGATGTGCGTGTTATGTCACAGTGTGTTTGGGCTTGGCTTCATTCCCACATATCCCGCACTCAGTGAGTCCCGATCACAGACGTGCCAAAGGTGATTCAGACACGCTCCTGGGAACAAATTCTTTAGGAAATCTATGGCTAGAGACCATGGTTGTAATCAGACCTGTTACATCCTTGTTATGATTCTATGCCTGAGTCTTACTCCCGCCTGCTCTCTGATCCACCCACGGGTCTATCTAACTTGTGAGATAGTCATTGAACAGAGATGTATTTTTTTCTCTTATAGCCAATTCTAATACTTCACATTAATTGCTGTTCACTGGTTTTGTAGTAATATGGTGGTACTGTTACAAACTCCACTGTGAAATAGTTTTCTATTATTCCATTACAAGCAGAATAACAGATGTTTTAAATTATTCTTTACATCTGTCTTTCATGAACCGATTACAAGGTTGTATTCCGTACTTTCAGTGAACCCGGACGGACATTGTTCCCAGAGTTTACTCAGTTAAGAGTGCTTCCTGGTATTCTCTTGTCAGTGTTAGCATAGAATTATACAGATCAGAAGGAGGCCATTCAGCCCATCGTGTCTGTGCCAGCTCTTTGAAAAGAGCTATCTAAATCAATCCCACTCCCCAGAGCTCTCCCCATAGCCCTCCAAACATGTTAGACTAATAATGAATAATAATTTGCATTTATATAGAGCTTTTAATGTTAAAATAAACATCGCAAAGCACTTTACAAAATACAATCGATTAGAAATAATATACAGCATAGGGAAACGCAGCAGCTAATCTGCACCAGGACCATCCAATAAAATGATGGATGTTTGTGGGACATTGCTGTGCACAAATTAGCTGTCTCATTCGCCCACAATATACATACAGCCACACCACTTTACATTATATCATGTGAAGTGCTTTGAGATGTCTTGACGTGATTCAGCGCTGTATCAAATGTAAGGACTATGAATATTATTATTATAATGAAAGTAACCAATTGATGTAAATTTGGATAAGAAGGGACGTGTTAACCAGGAGAAAAATTCGGCATTTCTTTGAAATAACAGCAGAGAGGTCTTTTTCCAGCCAATTGAATTGTAAGGTAGATAGAATCTAAAATTAATAATTCAATCAAGGAGTGGAAATAATCTGGAAGTAAAATAGTTTTACAATGCACAGTCAAACCACTTTACAGTATATCCTGTGAAGCGCTTTGAGACATCTCAATGATGTGAAAAGGTGTTATATCAAAAGCAAATAGAATTTATATTTTTATGTAGACAAATACGAAAGACTGCCTTTTTCCTAAAGATGAAGTTTGGGAGAATAAAGTTAGACGTGAAGATATTATTTTACAAAGCAAGCTTTATTTCTTAGTTGATACTCAACTATTTAACCTAATTCAACGACATAACTTGCATTTATAGAGCGCCCTTCACACCGTTCGGCATCTCGGAGCGCTGCAGTTATTTCAAAGCAATGCAGAGTTTTCTCCACCAGTACCCAAATCCACTCTCTGGGGTTCCCAAGCCCTGGCTCTTGCCAACTTGCGCTTAATACTTTCCTGAATTAGGCAAGAAGCATTTGTGAGAGAGTGCTTACCATTTCCAACAATCCATCTCTAGGATTTCCATGTATAGGTGGGATGCATGTCTCAGCTTGGTTTGGATACTCTTATGCATGGTAAGGGTTTCCGCCCGTCAAGACACCTGGCTGACCATATAACAAGTTCTGTCCCTTTCTCCTCTCACCCTACCAACAGCCCCACCCCCCTCCACACATCTCAGAGGCATTCCTGTGTTTAGAATAACATCACCTTACAGCGTTAGTCTAAGGAACTGGTACATTGGACAACAACTTGCATTTGTATAGCATTCTTCATGCAGGCTAGGGCCTCAGATTATTGCACAATGGTGGGTTTGGATACTGAGTGAGTGGGAAGGAAGAGATGTCTGTAGGCGCAGTCGAAGAGGCAAGTCTTAAGGTGGGATTTAGGAGTATCTGTCAAGCTATGACCATGCTTATGGTTTGCAGGACTGGTGACAGTCTGCACCTCCTTATCTCATTGCAATGCCTTGGGTAAGTGTGAACCTGCCAGGCTCATGCCTCCCAGAATAGTGTTGAGCTTTAGCAGGATGAAATGAGAATGAAATGCGAATCTGTACGAACTTGTTGCATGTGTCTTTGGATTGTTTAACCATTTTGTTTTGTGCTCTCTTGCTTCAGGTAGCAGAGAAGCTGCCTTTGTTTATGCCATCTCCTCTGCCGGGGTGGTTTTTGCCATCACCAGAGCTTGCAGTCAGGGAGAACTCGGCTCCTGCTCCTGCGACCCCAAAAAGAAGGGAACCTCCAAGGACAACAAGGGAATGTTTGACTGGGGAGGATGCAGTGACAACATTGACTATGGCATAAGATTTGGGAAAGCGTTTGTGGATGCCAAGGAAAAGAAGGGCAAAGATGCTCGGGCACTGATGAATCTTCATAATAACCGAGCGGGTAGAAAGGTATGCTTCTCTTTACCTCTGGCAAACCCAGACTCCTTCTGTTAAATAGAATAAAAATAATCCTTGCATTTGATATAGCGCCTTATCACATCTTCGAATATACTGTAAAGTGAATTGACTGTATATTTTGTGGCTGAACCACAGCAGCCAACTGCACACAGTAGTGTCCCAAAACAGTCATGGATTGAGTGACCAAATTATTGGGGTTTTTTTGGACGGGAGAGAGGCTAAGGGAGGTAAATGGGTGGGAGGAAGGGGAGAGAGGCTATTTTGGGGCAGTGTTTGGGGAAACCATTTTGCTGAAGGTTTAGTCAGACGTCGTGCCCCATATCTTTTGGAGTATTTGTGCAGAGCAATTGTAATAATCCGAATGAGGGTCTCGGAGCAGCCTGTCAGCTAGTCAATGACACATACCCGGTTCCCGGCAGGATTATATATATCTGCAAATCCAGGGTACGACTCCAACATTTTAAATCCTGATGTTGGAAAATTTAAAAGCGAAGTAGATAAATGTTTGACAGGAAAAAAACATCCAGATTGAAAAATGCAGAAGATGAGGAGTTTCATTGTTTCAAAATGGTTTAAAATTGGTACTTTTGGATCTACCTTTAGTTTAAAATCTAATTTACACTCTTAATAACAATAAATCAATAGTTTTACTAACTGCTTTTTACTTTCCCCTCCTTCCAACTATACTTAGTATTAAGTTCACACGTTGGTGTTGTGGGAAGAATTGATCTCTTGGAAGCGAATATACATCTGACTGTGTTGTAGTAAACATGCCAAGTACAAATCAATTTTACCTTCCATCCACTGGGTGAGCAGAGATCTGCTCCTTCCAAGAAGAGACTATTCTACTTCTCTGGGTGGAGCAGACGCTGATCACCCAGGAGGGAATAACATGGCAGCGGTAATAGTCCTTTTGGTGGTAAGTATTCTGTTCTTTGTGGACATTGCTTGCAGGATTCCAGCGGGAACACTTTACAGTGAAAGATCTATGTTTCAAGAACTTTAGAGACATCATGTCTGTTATTTTTTTCACTCTCTGGTGCAAAGCAATTCCCACCTGGGTCTAGATTTACTCTATTGATGTAGCATTATAGAGCAATTTGGCAAATTCTTAAACACAGCCTCATGTTTTTTAAATAAGTTCTTTTAAGAATGACAAACTACCTTCAAGTTGTGACTGAATTCAATTTACCAAATTCTGGACACTCAAATATTTCATCAAGAGAAAATCTAGATCCAGGTGGAACTTCTCCCCAAATATTGTACTTGATACTCCCTTGCCCAGAGTTTAACTATTTGGATCTGTACTACATCAGCATAAGTCACAATAAGCAAACCTCTGACTAATTCCTACATTCCAAGTCTATGATTAATCCTTAGTACTTGATGAATATAGCCACTACTGCTTATCCTGGCATTGTTTCAGTCACTGTGGTGTATTGAATGTTTTTTTCCCCTCCTCCCCCTCCGTTAGGCTGTAAAGCGCTTCCTCCAGCTTGAGTGCAAATGTCACGGAGTTAGCGGATCGTGTACCTTACGAACTTGCTGGCTGGCCATGCAAGACTTCCAAAAANCCGGCAACTACCTGCGGAGAAAATACAATGGAGCTATTCAAGTCATTATGAACCAAGATGGGACTGGTTTTACCATAGCGAATAAGAACTTTAAAAGGCCAACGAAAAACGACCTGGTGTATTTCGAGAACTCTCCAGATTACTGTGTCGTGGACAGAGAAGCAGGTAAATTTCCTCCATCCTTCAATAGTCTGGTATTTCTGAATTGTAACTCAAGTTCTGTTTGACTATAACCCCATTATTATTGCTGGTGCCCAACAAAGTGTGACCTATACCCAGATTTGACATTCATATAGACATAATACTATGAAGCTGCTCTTCCCTGTAGCATATTGCCAACCCTACAATGCCTTTAACAGCAAACCTTTGAAACAAAGTTAATGTGTTGTCAATATTTGTGGATTGGTACAGAAGGGAAATGCTGTCCCCTTTCCAGTTCTGTGCTATCTGGACTAATTTAGTCCAGGCTGTTAGGACAAATATCTCCTCTCTGTTTTTGTGAGGATTGTAAGCAAAAATTAAGTGGGAACTAGCACATGGCATGAACCACTTGTAATACAACATTAATTGGCATTCTTTGGCAATTTCAGATAATTTCCTCTATTTTACTGTGACAACTTGGGTGGAAAACAGAAGTCGAACAGGATGGGGATAAGCACTAGAGCAAATTTTGCTTTACTATTGCATCTGAATTGAGCCATACCTGAGCAGGGAATAGTTTTGGTGTTGCAATAGAACGCAGAGATTAGCAGACTTTCCCAGATCTTCACTATTTGGTGGGCTGAGCTAGTAAAATGTTCCATTCATTGAGTAGAAATGGTTTTGGAGCCAGAGTTCATGAACTTTTGCTCCAGTTCAGGCTCAGATAGGTCATTTGGCTCCCTGATGAACTGTGGAGATAGTTGTTGTTTGTAATATGAGAGAGAAAAGGTGTCAACAGAGGGAAGCAACAATTCCAAGTTCTCCTATTTAAACTACTTAGACCTGGCTACATTTCTCAATCTACAGCAATTCAATTTCCATCCATTAGTTTACAAATGTTAGATCATTTTCATTCCTGTCATAAAATGTCACTTTAGCAGTTTTCGGAGCACACGGTGATCATCAGGAAAAGCAGAAAAGCTGTAAAGTACAACATGGCTCTTCTCGTCCTGCCTTAATTCCCTTGTCCTAAAGGTCTTGTTGTGAATTGGAATAGTTTATAAGCAGCAGCTTGTATCAGCTGCACCACTTAGTTCTTTGAGTTTACAGTGTCATTCGTGCAAATTCTGAGGAGTTGATCTTGTCCAGATGCAACATTTGTTCATCCCAGATGGTCAAAAGCAAAGTACATTGTCTTCCTCCAGCACAGAAAAGCACTACTAGTGAATATTTTTTAAATACATGGTTGAATTAGATGATGCTAAAGGAAACAAGTTTGCATTCTAATGGCTATTTGTCTCGAGCAAATGTGGGAGGTAGTTTTTTTTGACGGAGGGAGCAGTCTTTCCAACATCGGGTTACGTCCACATAAATCTTGGCAACGGTACTGCATTCAATCATCTCCGAAAATTTTACAGTCCTAAAGCAAACATTAGTGTTCCCTGGCAATGTTTGCATAACATCTTGCAAATCCACACTGTTTTTTTCACACTTTTTGTTGGCATACCTTTGCTTGCTTAATTTGTATGGTTATTCATTTTCCAGCGTGCCAGAATGCAATTAAGCCAAAAGAGGGCAGGAAAATCTTACTTTATTAACATTTTATTATGAGTTTTTTTTGCTACAAACCTGCTCCTATCATAGGTGGCTGACAGTATGCATACCTTTTGCAGCACTGTGGAACATGTAACTATTTATACTGCAGGTAATTATTAGTTAATTATAAAAAGACTATTCGAAGTTAATGAAGATTTATGATATTCAGAAAGATTTGGCATTTGTGCATTTTTTTAAAGTATATGTGTTGACTCGTTTGTGACATCTGTTAGTTTCATTATATACAAATAGTAAATGTGTTGAAAATGAAGAATGTCTGTGGAATATTTCCATCACATCTGCTGATAATTTACCTTTCACTTGACCTGACTGAGCTGTAATGCGTCAAAGGCAAATTTTAGTCAAATCGGCTAGACACCAACACAGCAAAGCTAATGGAAAGGACTGTCAAATTGGCAAGTCTTGTAGTTTTTTTAATATAAAAAAGCTACTGATATGAGTAGGGTGTGCTCTATAGATTCTCTTCCTCACCCCCCCCCCCCACCTCCCCTTTGTGAAAAGAAAATCCCAACATTTGATACAGCTTTTCACGTCAGGAAGATGTCTCAAAGCGCTTCACAGGATTCACTGTAAAGTGTATTTTGTAAAGGAATGGGAGACTCTTTGCCCCCCCCCACCCAATGATGATAAATTAACATCTGAGTTTCTATTGGGGAAAGATAAATATGTGGACTTTATCTAATGTAATATTTGATTGGACACCTGTGTTTTGTCAATTTAACAATTAAATTGTAGTTAAATCTTCTCCACCTCATCAGCTGGGACAAGTTCAATCTCCCATATGCTGCACCCAGTGCTTGATGCTCAAGCTCCCAAGTTCCAGCTGATTTGGATCATCAAAGCTTCCTCCAGAAACTCCAAAGAATAGGGAAGGATTTTTCTTTTGAAAGTGAGAAGTTATATTATGGAAACAGTAACCAGATTTGATGACATGTTTAAGGAAAAAAATTTAGTTTAACAAACCCATCCTTTTTGATGGACTAAATCCAAATTAACTCAATCTCCTCTCTTCAGAAAGATACTTTTTTCTTTCTTTGTCTTGGGTTTTCCTATTGCCAAACCTCTCAATCACTTAAAATAACGTCCTGTACAACTGAAACTTTCTGGTGTAGTTTTCAGGCATGTGGCGTGGTTTATTTTACATAATGGAATTGTGCTGGCCCCTTAATGATCCTTGAATTAAGCAAGCCAAGAGAAAGTTAACATGTTCATTTGGGTCCTGCAGGAATCATGGGTGTAAGTTGTATATTTTAAGAGTGATGGTCTTTTAAAAAACATCCACGATGTTTGACTTGGCCAACTTTTCCCCTCCCTCAGCAAAGGGGAACTATTTAACAACTTCTAATACGTTAGTAGCTTCCTGCTTTTAATGGTAAGTGAAGATATAGCTTGCATTTAATATAGCGTCTATAACATTAACTAGCAAAATGTCTTCTGCTTCACTATTAAACAGAGGTCCTATCTGCCTGTTTAAGTGGTTGTTAAAGATTCCATGGCACTGTTTGAAAAGTGAAGGGAGTTTCCCCTCAGTGTCCTGGTCAACAGTCTTTCTCCCCTCACCCCGCGAAAATTGATCATTCACTTCATTGCTGTTTATGTGGATATGGTCACTACACAATGAATCCCGTGAACCAATTTGGGATGTTCTCCTGATGTGAGAAGCATATAAATACTGTAAATGTGTAGGTGAACACATCAGCCACTTTGCAGAGTAATGTCTCACAAGCAGTTATGAAATGAATGGCATTTTAAATCTGGTGTATTGTTGGTCAGGACACTGATTATATGTGGGAAACGGGCAAAATGCGCCTTTCTTTTTAATTGGCTGCTGCATTTCACCCACAAAATATACAGTCAATTCACTTTATAGCATATTCTATGAAGTGCTTTGAGATGTCTCGAAGACTTACTAAGGCGCTATAGCAAATGCAGGGATTTATTCTTAAATAACTATGAAAAAAAGAATTGTGGATTTAGATCTCAACACTTCTATTTTTTCCCAAACACAAATTGTTTTTCTTTAGATTTCCTATTATCGTGGCTGTCAGATTATTCTCTACAGAACACTGCTCCATATGGGAAGTAAACCATAGGAGGCAGAAAGACTCAATGGATGGGAAAACGTTTTACACAGAATCCAAGGGGTGGATGGTTAAAGTTCTAGGAATAAGCACATGTCCAAACAGTTATATGGCAATAAACCAAGCAAACGCGATGCTGAAATGGATTGCCAAATAAGTGTGTGTTCAAGCACTGGAGTCACAAAATGCAGCTCTGGTTCATGTGACATGGAGAGCAATAGCTTTTAAAATGTGGCTTGTAATGAATTTCAAATCTGGAATACCTTTAAATTGGGGATTTCCAACTTTTTTTGATACCAACCTTTTCTTCTGCAAAAAACAACTTGCATTCATATAGCACCCCTCAAGCAGGATAAAGTCCCAGAGCGCTATAACAAACAGTTTTATGGCAATAGTTATAAACAAACAAAATTCACCAGTTACTCTTCCTCAATGTTCTGCAAATGACCACAATCCTTTGTAAAAAGAGGGCTTCATCAGAAATCATTGCAATGGAAAAGATACAATCCAGTTGAACCACAATGACTGCTATATAATGTAACCAGATACCTTTGTTAGGTCACACGTTTAGAAATAGACTTTATTCAAAAATATTACAGGGTTATTTGGTACAGAATATCATTGTGGATGTGTAACTGTGTGGGTAACGCCAAGCTATTTGAAATGATGGCATGAATGTTGCCACGTGGACTAATAGCTTCTGAGTATCTTCAAGCCTACATCAAAGCCATAGATTTATAACTATTACTTCTTGGATAAGCAAAATTTACATTTCAGTGGAATTCATTTGACCTGACATGAGGTCAAAAGTCAAACAGGTAAAATGCAAATGGCTACAAATCTTCACATAACCTTGTTTAACAAAAAGCTATGGAATTGTTTCTCAGATCCCTTGACTGAAGATGTGTTGTGCATTGGAAATTGCAATAAATTCTTGTATTGCAGTTAATGAAGAGACCATACAAACAGTTCAGGTGCAGCAGCAGAACTTAGCTTCTGATTGTTCCAGTGTGCATTTTTCAATTCAAGGGAGGCTGGATTGTCACAGGTGTCATGTTTTCTAGGACATTAAACTGAGATCCTGTTTGCCTATTCAGGTGGGCATTTAACAATTCCACAGCTCTATTTGGAAAGGGAGTTCTTCCTCGGTATCCTGCCCAACAGATAAAATTGGTCATTCAATTCATGACGGTTTGTGGGCCATTGCTACAATATTAGTCACTGCAGTTAATGGTAAATTCTGCAAAGTGCTTTGAGACATCCTCCCACCATGAAAGGTGCCATGTCAAGTTAGGTTAATTGAAGTTAACTGTGTTATCAACCTGTCCGCTCCCTCTGTTCAGCAGGCTCCAGCCTGCTCCATGCCCCCCACCCTTGCCTCTCTGCCCAAGCCCTTTGGAACTCCATCCCATAATCCCTTTGCCTCCTTCAGGGAACTTCTCAAGACCCTCCTCTTCGACCACACGTTCGGCCACCCTCCTACCCCTAACTAACCCTCCTGAACTCAACCCCCTGCTTGGGTCCAAATCCCTGCGTCTTGGGATGGACGTCCAGCGCCTTGGGACGGACGTCCTCCTGACATGAAAGGTGCAATACAAATGTAATTTGTTGTTTGAGCTGCAGCTCAACTTTAAACCAGTTAACAGGACTTGAGCAACATAACAAAAGCAGAATCCAGCCCGTTTATTTTAATCCTTGCATTGATATAGAGCCTTATCACTTCGTTGAGTCTCAAAGCGCTTCACAGGATATACTGTAAAGTGGATTGACTGTATAGTTTGTGGATGAATTTCATTGACATAAAAACTCTCTGGAAGACAAAGTCTCCACTTACCCACATGATCACAACCCGCACCAATTTTGAATGTTGCATGTTCAGAAAGCAACCCTCCAACATATTATAATATAATATGACATGCTGAACAAATTTCAGCTTAAGAGAGTGATTGCCTGTCCACTGTAATGTTACAATAAGAGTGGAAATGAATTGCCTCATTAATCATTCACAGTTAAATAGAATAGCAAGTCAGTGTTTGATATCTTTGTGAGCTATCATGTATCAGACAGCTGCATACTAATCAGATACTGGACTCTGAACCAGCAGAAATATAATCTTAAGCACCATTCAGTTACGCATTATCTGAATGTTATAGAGAAAATGCCCGTCAATGTTCAGTTGCGCGCTACAGGACAATTAATTTTGATCTCTTTACCAGGCTCCCTGGGCACAGCGGGCAGAGTGTGCAACAGGACCTCTCGAGGGATGGATGGATGTGAAGTGATGTGCTGTGGCCGGGGCTATGACACGACCCGTGTCATGCGAGTGACGAAATGTGAATGTAAATTTCACTGGTGCTGTGTGGTCCGTTGTAAGGAATGCCACCAGATGACCGACGTGCACACGTGCAAAGCTCCCAAGAGTATAGATTGGGTGGAGCGGACATGAATATCCTCTGCAGGGGATGTACGACAAACTGACTAAATCCACCTCCAATCATCCTCAACCATAGGATGTCCTTTTTAACCTCATTTATAAATGTATTGAAGCCTCCCACACTTTCTCCCCGACCCCAATGTATTGTCTTTCCTCCCTTTCTATATAGTCTCCTTTTCATCCACCCCATCACGTTTCCCATGTTCTGTATATGAGCACTCCAAGACGCTATCCTGTGTGAAGGATGCTATATAAATGTAGGTTTAGCTGTCTGTGGGAACTCTCTCCTCCCTCCCCTTGTATTTTCAATACTATTGTGAATCATGTGCCACTTTACAGATTGGGGTAAGAGTGGTCTGTCCCAACAGCACTGTGCACTTGCCAACTCTCTTCTGAAACCAATGTTGGGCACTTAAAAAAAAACAGACAGCTAGCAAGAGTTGTCTTTGAAAGTCATCCCTCTGTTCACTTGGGAGAAAACTATGTCCTCTGGAAGTCTGCTCTTGTGGCTCACCACATTTACTGAACCCCTGAGATGCAGCGAGGAGGAAAAAAATGACTCACGCTGTGCAGGACTGATTGTATTCTCCTCACATCCCTGGACCCTCATTGTACCTCACCATTGAAGAATGAGGTGAGGTGCTGGAGGGTTCCCTCTGCTGTGGAATGGTTGTACAAGCTTCAAGAAAGGAAGTGGAGAAAATGTAAATGCACGTGAGCACAGCAAAAAGTCAAAGTGGAGTTTCAACTAAATATTACAAAGACAATAACTCGACCACAAATTTCGATAGTCCATTTCCATATACTTCACCCTTATCGAGAGTCTGAGATTGAGTGTTTTTTCCTCTCAAGTATAGTGTTGGAGTTCATTTCCGTCTATGGCTCCTGTTTTCTATTGAGCCAGTATAACTGTCTGATGTACAAGTACAGTATACTGTAGTGCCATCTGTCATAAGGATACATGTATGTGTACAAGCTGCTGATATTGTTTTACGTTGTGAATTGTAGCTTGTTGTATTCTGAATAGCAAGTGCTGTAAGTAAACCATACTTTTAAGTATAAATGGCTTTAACTCCTCTCAAGAATCCACACAGGAAACCCTCAATTGATGTTTGTTTCCCTGGAAAAACCACAAGCTTGCATAGGTTTAATTCATTTTAAGTGTGTGAGGGGGAAGGTAAGTGAGCTCAGAGTAAGTTCTAGTAAAATGTTCTATGGGAATATAACTTTAGGGAGCGTCACAACAGGGGATAGAGTTTATCAATTTCTGTGAGAAAAAAAACCTCTTGAACTTCTAATTGAGAATTGCAATTTGGATATTGGTGAGATTTGAGCTCCGCTTTAAAGTCAAGAACACCCTACCACTGAGCCATCCAAACTATCACACCACAACTACTTTGGAACTTATACTTATCATTCAGGTACTGTGGAGGCAACTTCCAAGGTACATCCACAAGAAAAAGCATCAAAACAGAATCAAGCTGTGGCTCAAAACTATAGCCCTTGCCTTAGATTCAAGCTCCCTATATGATCTTTGATCTTAAAAACTTTTAAAAGAAATGGGTTTTGAAGATTTACTTCATGTTTATCTCAATTTGCCAGTAGGGCAAAATGTTGGGCAAGTTTCCTTACTCTACACCCCACTGTTTATCTCACAGTAAGTAGGAACCCGGTTGTTAGTCAATTGGCGGATCGCTTTTCTGTGGGTAATAATTCCTTCAAATTGGTCACTTCAATCACGACTGTATGTGGGACACTGCTGTGCGCAATTGGCTGCAATATTTCACCCACAAAATATACAGTTAATTCACTTTACAGTATATTCTGTGAAGTGCTTTGAGACGTCTCGAAAATGTGATAAGGCGCAATATCAAATGCAAAGATTATTATTATTTTACTCAAATCATTAACAGCTGCTCTCAGGTACACCACAGCAGGATGCTTGTTCCCTTCGCTGAGCGTGCTTCTTTCTTCTTTAAGCCATGGTGCTTGTCTTTCACCAACTTTCCCTCAATTGATAACACACTGTCATGGTCCTTCATCCTCACTGGACACACACCGCAAACTCTATTTAAGTCATGGACCTGCAGTTTTTTATTAAACCTCTTGTAGTCCGTGGACAACTTCAAACACCTCTCCCTCTACTGGGAATATACATCACAGGGCACCAGCAGTGCAGCAACTGGACAAGTTATTGCCCAATTGGGGGCTCCAGTCCAGGTGTGAAGAAAATTACAGATATTTACAATTTTGTAGCTTCTGCTCATCTCAACTCCAAGATGCTATGTACGAGCTCCAGGAAGTAATAGAACAAATGATTGTTCCAAGACACTTACATGCTGAAGCACTGAACAATGACGGAGTTTGATTCCGAGTCAGGGAGGAAAGGGAAGTGACTGTAGGCATTGTCAAAGAGGAAATCTTCAGGTGTGATTTGATGAATGGGCACAACTGAGGGATTAAGACAGGGATTCAGAGGTTCAAGGTGTAGTGGCTGAGGTCATGCCCACACATTCAATAGAGGGTCTGAAATGGGACTAGGAGTAGGAACTCTTGACTGGTTTTCCCCTCAATAACTGCGAAGCCCAAGGTGAATTTAGCTTTCCTATGTAATCCCAGTGTAGCCAAGACACCCAGCATGGACTAGGATTCAAGCCAGTGACATGTTGGTCTGAAAGATACAGCTCTATCCACTAGCTCATCAGGACTACACTCCCCACCCCCCCAAATATCTCTCAGAATGCTTAAATACTTAACTCAGTGCTTTAACATGGTTCAGAAATTGGTCTTTTTCCACAGTTTTTTTTTAAAAAAACAGAAATTTAGTGTATAAATGTATCAAATACTTTATCACATAAATGAGAATCTAACAACTTGCATTTATTTAGCGCCCTTCATGCAGGGTAGCATCTCGGAGCATTTGTACTATATACAGCACCGAACATATACATATGTAACATATACAGCCTCCAATGTGCAACTATATAACTTATATAGTTATATATAACTTATATAATGTTACTATATAACATATATAACGTAAGTAGTTACACGTTAGAAGCTGTATAAGGCACTATTACTGTGTTTCACAGCAGGAGAGCATGGAATTTCAAACAGCTGAATGGGAGCTAGAGCAGGGGAGAACAACAACAACAAAATTACATTTATAGAGCGCCTTTCATGTCGGGAGGACGTTCCAAAGCGCTGAACAGTCAGCTGTCGGGGCCCGAGCATGGGGGAGGAGTGGTGTAGGGGTGAGGGAAGGCAGAGAGGTGGGAGGGAGACCAAAGGCACGGTCGAGGAGAAGGGTCTTGAGAACAGCCTTGAAGGATGCAAGGGAGGAAGTGAAGCGAAGGGACCGTGGGATGGAGTTCCAGAGTGTGGGGGCAGAACACCCTGAAAGTTCACCCACCTATGGTGGGGCAGATTAGGCAGGAGACATTAATTGGTACTTGCTGACAGTGGGAGTGGCTGGGTTGGTGAGATTGTACAAGGTCACACAGTTGGGTGTGGTGGGGGAGAGGAAAGATCTTGAATTCGATCTACTAGGGGACAGGGAGCTGAACAAGGAATGGGGGGCAACAGGCACACAGAGCCCGGTTTGGGAGAGGTCACATTCTGCAGAGTTTGACTGGTTCTGTAGCTTGAGTAGGGAGGAACTTGGGAGTCTGGCAAGCAGGGGAATGAGTAGCATTACATATTGATTATTCCAATGTGTACTGTGCAAAATACCTTTCAAACCCATAAGTCAAAACAGCTATGGGGAGATGGAGGAGGAAGGATAGCTACAAAATTGCTTCCATTGTAAAAATGCTTCCAAAAAAACCCTAGCATCCAAATTCAATTCACAGAATTGGCTGCAACACAGACAAAATTGTCAAACACTAATGCTACATACAGAAATACATCACGAGCATTGTCTTGTGTCGCCATATAGAAATTTCACTTCAAAACATTGGGATCTATACCCCTCGGTATTCAAAAAACAATTCATTGCCGAGTTGTCATATCAGGATAGCAATCCTGTCTCACTAAATATTTTCAGATGTTCTATATTATCAGAACACAAGCTTTCCCTGGAACGTGATCTTAGGCTGATATGCTGTTAATGGAATATCCTGCATATGGTTCTGAACTTTATTAGGTTTGAGAAGATGTTCTTAAATAGATCCAGCTTTGGCCGAGCAGTGCAGCTTAGGCACACCCTGACTGTTTAGTATTATAACTCCTTCCTTCACACCTCAATACTTCAACCGTCCTATCCTGTCCTCATCGCTGTCCAGATCTTTGAATCTCCCATGCTTAGAAGAATGCAGCATCTTGGTTCTTGACACCTTTTAGGTTATTTATTTGATGCCTAATTGTGGGATATTTACTGTTGCTGGGGCCACCATCTGACATACAAGATTCAAAGTACTCGTATTATTCAATACAAAATGTTCACAGACACTAAACATGGATGAAAAAGAAACAAAACTTCTCCTTTGAGTCAAACTAGTTATTTTCCCTTTAAAGCAATTAAATTCACTTACAAAAACAGTCACTACACTTCACAGTAAAATCCTGTGAAGTGGTTCGAGACATCCAAGCAACATAAAAAGCACTTAGTAAAAAAAGAAATCAGCATTATAAATTAGTTATATTGTTTCAGTATTAAGGAACCTGCAGTATCCTCTGCATTGAAACCATTTGATCTACTATTTATATACTATTATTAGGGCTGTGTGTTATCAAGGGAATAGGTAGGGATAGAGAAGCATAACTCACACAGCTACTCAAACTGTCCAGTGTGCTATAAAGCTGGACTTTAAAAGCTACAAGATTTGATTTCTTTCTCTAAGATATAGCATCATCCTGTACCTTGAAAGTTACAGGAAAAAGTAAATGAAGATGAATGAATCCTGTCTTCCTGTGGAGAGATCTGATCTCCTTTGACGTAAATACCCAGGGGCATTTGTTTGAAATTAGATACTTTTCTTTGTGTCCTTCACTCCTGAATTCCAACCTTCCATCTCTTTCATCCACAACAGCATCAGCAAAATCATTGCAAGACGGATGTGAAAGGAATGAGTGGTAAGATGTAATAAACCATGCCAATGTCCATTGGATCACAACAACGTGCATTTAGTACTGCGTTATACAGAACCCTTCACGTGGGGTAGCTTCTCAGAGCGCTTGTCAGGTCATCTCAACACTGGTCAGAAAAATGTGTAAGATTCAACATAATGCATTAAGTTGCATTAAGTTGAGAGTACGTAGGTGTTCTAGTCAACAATCAATCAGGCATTTGTCTTATGCACACAAATTGGCTGCTCTGTTTGCCTGCAAATCCAGTCACTACATGGTACAGTATATCTTGCGAAGCACTTTGTGCCTTATATCACATTAAAATGCTAAACTGAGTCCAGCTCAGAACGGAGAACACAGAACTACACATAAATTTACAATACACGAGAAGGCCATTGGTCACTTTTTCATGCCTTTAAAAGTCCAATCCAGTCAGTCCTGTTTACCTGCCACTCCAGATTATTCCTATTTTGGAATCCTATCTAGTTCATATTTATAATATACGTATATATACATATACTCACACACACAATTATTTTAATCTCTTCCAAACAAGAACAAAGATCTGCTACTCTTTCCAACCAATTTACCGTTAATATCAATCACCTTTTTTTAAAAAAACAAGCCTCCCATGTAGCACCTTATTAAGAGTCTTCTGAAAAATGTACATATAATAATCCCATTTGATTTAGCGCATTATCACGTCACCAAGACATCTGACAGCCCTTAACAGGATGGTACACACTGTAAAGTGGTGTGACAGTGTGTGTTTTGTGGGCCAAGACCTCAGCCTTTCAGTTCCTCTAGTGGTTGCTCATCAGATACAATACCACACCATTAGCTTCATTTATTATTGGTTACACTATCAAACTGTGAGATTGGTCAATCAAGACAATACAATCAAAATTTACATTTACATTGTGTTTTACATGTCAGGAAGATGTCCCAAGGTGTTCAACAATACTGGCTTGGCACCTGAGCTGGGGGTGGGGGTAGAGGTCAGGTGGGGAGGGGAAAGATGACCAAAAGCAAGGTCAAAGAGTAGGTCTTGAGATGGACCTTGAACGAGTTGATGGAGAACTTGCCTTTAACAAGCCCAGGCTGTCTTTCATCAACCCACATATTTGAGTGATTATTATCCCGAACTATGGCCTCTAAAAGTTTGTTCTTTATCATTGTTAAGGTCAATAGTTACTTGGCTCATCAGTGTCCCTTTTTGAACATACAAATCCAGGTTCTCATTCCCAATTGCTCTACTGCAGGAAGTCGTGTCAAACCACTCACATCACCATCAGTAAACAGTCAATTCAAAATATTTATTTTCCAAAGATGCTGACACTTGCTGGGATAAATTTCTCAAAATGCACCCTTCATACCTTACCTCATCACTGTCAGGCATTCCTTTAAGTCAGAGAAACAGAGAATCTAAGAGTGTGGGCTAGAGGATTGGCAAGAGAGACAGATGGACACACGCAAGGATGATTTTGAGTCACTGAGAATATGAATCAGAAACACAGATGGTGGTTAGAGGGAAGAGCTGACTCTGAGCAGTACTATAGTAGAACTCCTGATGTAAGAAGTTGTTTGTTCTGGGTTGTATTTCATGTCATACAAGTACAATAGTACAACTGTTGCCAAATTTTGGAGAAATGCTGAAACTGAAGCCTCATCCAAATGGACAGCTTCAAGTCATTGTTGTACTTTATCCAAAGAGAAGACTACTGTACTAATAAAGGCAACAACCAGCTTCTTTCAGTTTTTAAAAACATATTAGTATAATGTAATAGATTTTTACAATAAAAGACTTGGCTATAAGAAAGCAATTTTTGTATTCTTTCTGTTCAGCTCAATTCTTTCTGTTAAAACAGATTATGTGCCCTCAATTTCTGCATTGCTTTTTAGCAAACAATTCCTTGCACTAGTTGCACCAAATGCAATCTAATTTATACACCACTTTTCTAAATATATTTTACAGGCCAAACCATTTTAGCTCTTTTGAACAACAAAACCCAAAGAATTATACTTACACACTTAGAAAATTCCTTATTGTTAGTCAATGTTAAAGGGACTTCAGTTCCAAATGTGACAGCACTTTTTACACGCTACATAGGACAAAAAAACATTTCTTACCAGGAAAAGACATTCAATGATGTCGTCAGTACACACACTTACCTCTGAAGAAGCTTAAATCATTGGCTCATGAGCCAATTTCACTTGAGTGGTAGGTAACACTCTGTACCTGGTGTAAATTGAATTAAACAACAGCATTAGCACAATATACCTTAAATACTAAAACTAGTCCAAGCTAAGCTGTATAAGTCTACTCTAGGACGCTACAATTGATTCCAGGGTTCATGCACTAGTAGTGCATTTTCAGTGTGACGGGAGCCTCTTTTTAACTGCAGATTTTGGCTTTTAAACAGTACTTTAAAAAATGTTTGTATCAAATACAATGCAAATGTGTCAATACATTTGACTTTTGTACAAATAATGTTGCGATCTTCAAACCAGAATTTACCAATAATACAATATTTAGTTATCAAGCACATTAGACCATTCAAAGTTTTATCCAACTTGTGAAAACACATCTCTAGATTTAATTGTCTGAACAGCTTCAAAGTTAAACGGTGACATCAGCAATGTTTGTTGGTCAATGAGACTTCACCAGCTACAGCACAGGTGCAGACTCACTTACACCTCGCATGTCTTTCATTGGAGGAAACCTTGTCCTTGGCAAGGCAAACCCATGCTAATCCTTAGTAGGCAGTTTAACATACAGAAACAATTCAGAGTATTTGAAGACTCGGTCAGCTAAGGGCCCAGACTAAGGACTGAGCGAACACTGCATTTAAAAAGTACTGCATTGGTTTTCCTATAAATGAAAGCGTTAATGCTTTGCAGTGGCCAATTCTAAATGTGAAGTGTAAGATTAATTTTACACCTCTCATTTCAACTTGGTAAAGCATTCTCCCACTACATCTCAATCCCACATTAGGACTTGATCTTTTAGCCTAGGCTAACATTTGAATGGAGTGCAGCGGTAGTGGGGGGTAGCGCTGTTCTTTCACAACATTAAATCAAGTCCCATCTGCATGTTTTACACAGGGATTTTAAAGGTTCTATGACATTATTCAAAAAAAAGGGCAACATAAAAATATAGTACTTGACTGGTACAGTGCCCAGGGTTTTGAAACACTACGACACAAAGCATTGCAATCACAGGGTAAAACTGCTCTCTCGTTTGGAACTATAGCAGTTGGCACAGCAACTCAGAAAAAGCCGCATGGATCGTCGATGAGAAAAATATTGAGACTGGTAAGGCTGGGATAAGGGAGGAGGGAGGGGGAAGTGCTGAACTGAGGTTGGCATGAAAGCACATTGTTACAGTGAGTTTTAGAAAAGATTGATAGAGAAGGGTTTCTCTGCCAGTGCACACGATTCATTTTTGGGATGCACAAAAAAAAGCAATTTCTCTTCAAACAAATAGGGAAGAGGCTCATAAATTGATCTCAGAGCACACATGGCGCAGGGGTAAACCCTCTCTTCGCATTAAAACAGTGCAAGAAGGAAATACAATACAACAAAAAAAGCCACTATTCCGGTTGTATTACACAAAATTTAAACTTTATTCTGGGGGGGGGGGACGACTTTTTTTTGATTTTGTAGCATTTTAATAAAGGCCCAAAAAATTAAATAAAACAACAACAACTTTCTCTGATACAACAGAAAACATGTTCACGTAAGAACAAACCATAACAGAGAATCTTTAAATCACAGATTTTCATCCCTTTGTTTTGTTTTCATGCTGTCTTGCACTCTGCAAGATGTGAACTTGGCACAAGTTTCTCATGGTAGTCAGTCCAACACAGCTTCTTTCTTCCTAGATTCGAGTCAATTGGTGCCAGAGACTGGAGGGTAAGATGCTCTCAACCTTTTCCATCACAAAGTTCAATGGAGCAAAGAGTGTACTGAGAAACTGGGGAGAAAAGTAGCAAAAAAAACCCCGAGTCACTCATTCAAGAAGAGGATCCAAGACAACAACAAGAAACATGTACATTTACATAGCGCCTTTCCTGTCGGAAGGACATCTCAAAGCGCTTCACACAACAAGAAAGGTCGAAGAGATGGGTCTCGAGTCGAGGTTTGATATGCCTAATAAATACAGAAATTACTTTTAGACATTAATAAAGGTGATCAGATCATGAGAAAATTCCACCAGGGGCTGGAATATTAAAAAAAAACTTCCAACCCATCGAGTCATCTAAACCCTTCTGAACATTACCAAGTCTTTATTTTCACCTGTCAGCTAGCGACAGAGCGTCCCATCATCAAATGTTCATTTCTGTGAGGGAGACGCATCTGTGAATCGTTCACAAATAGCGGAAAGGTCCAAATGGGTTTCATTAAAAAGCACATTAAATTTTGTCACTTAATCCCATTTAAGACACAGCACAGTAATGCTGTGCACATGACAATACAAGATGACCCTGTTAAACTGCGATCTAGTTGAGCTCAGTGTAGGTGTACTGTAGACCTGCACCATACCGGACAGGCGATAAACTCAGCGTCTGACACTAAAAGATTACCAGGCCATTAAATCACCACTGGCATCAACTCCTTCATGCATGCTATACACAGGAAGCACTGTTGGTCAGTGGTGACTGGAGGGAAGTCACCTTTTTAGCACATCCTTATAACATGGTGTTTGAGATACTGAAGCCAAATGGCTGGATTTTGGCTGGCTTGCCCTATACTGACTGCTGAATTAATTTGTGCCAGTTTTCTTACTCCACACAATCTGCTCTTCCTATTCCCTCGTATTCCTATTCCTCTTCCTGTTCCCTTCTCCCTCATACCCATCAAGTTTTAAATACTTTGTTACTTTTTGCTTCTACCACAACTTCCAGGAGGCCACAAGTACCACATTCACTGCATTAAGACGTTCCTCCTGATCTACCTTATATTGATTTTAACTCACCAACAAGTGGAAACAGTCCGTCAACATCCACCTTATCAAATCCTTGCATAATAGCAGTTCCACAAGTAATTTCAGTAATAATATTGACTATAAGGCTATTACATTTTCAGTGGGACCTATGATCTAATGTCTCACTCGCATCTGCTCATACAAATGCCCTGAGACTGGCAGCTATAGATTTCAGAGATTACTCACCTCAAACCGTTTGCTTCATATTGAGCTTGGAAAACGATCAGAATCCCCAAAAACAGAGGTCACTCCTATTGTAAGATTAGGCTAAGGAAAACTTACAGCTGTACAATGCATTTCAAATATAGTGAAAAACAATTTAAACGTGGGACTATTTCAGCTGTGACATCTTGATGGAAATCCACAAAATAAAGAGAGGTTTGCTAGCAGCTGAACTACGATTTGCATCCCCAGAGACTGAGCCTCTTACTCCAGTGAGGAGTGACACTCAACAGCAGCAACGCACACAAGTGATGGGCAGCCAAAGATTGGGAAGTGGTGACCATCCAAAATGCTATCTGCCGTCAAAGCACAAGGTTGGTTTTGTAAAACATCAATTTGCATCAAGCAAATTGGAAGTTGCACGGGTGGGACAAAAGTAATATGCATTGGATGATCTCACCTTCCAGCACATATCACACCAGTTCCAGCCGAGAGCTGGATCACCCGAACGGGTTGATTTCAAGATCCTTGCACTCTTTTTCAAATCCCTTCATGATCTTGCACCTTCCTACCTCTCCGACCTGCTTACCCCACACCCGCTGCCTCCAGTTGACTGGCTCCAGCCTTCTGCATGTCCACGTGACCTCCGTTCCACCATTGGTGGCCGCGCTTTCAGCCACTATGCCCCGAAACTCTGAAACACCTTTCCTCTATCCCATCGCCTTGCCCTTTCCTTTCCCATTTTCACGTCATGCCAACGGTCACCAACCCCACCCCCCTGGCTCGGAGTTGTGCTCCGCCACTGTCAAGCACTCTGGGATGCTACCCTTCGTGAGGGGCGCTATGTAAATGCAAGTTGCTGTTGTCATATTGATAACTTTTGTGCGGGGAGATTGAACTCGCAGTCTAGGCTGACATTCCAATGCAGTGTTGGGGGTATGCTGCATTATCAGAGGCGCAGCCTTTTGGATACGATGTTAAATCAAGGTCCCATCTGACTATTCAGGTGAACATTAAATTTTCCATGGTACTATTCGAGAAGAGAAAGGAGTTTTTCCTCAGTGTTTTGGCCATCAATCTCCCAAGTAACAAAAAAGGTCATTCCCTTCAAGTCTAGTTTGTTGGGACTTTGCTCTGGCTGCTGTGTTTGCCTAAAGGTACACAATCATTACGCTTTACCGTAAATGCTGCAAAGCTCTTTGGAACGTCTGACGTAAAAGGCACTTACATCAAATGCAAAGATAATCTCACTTTCCAGCACGCAACAAATAGCTGCAGCATTGCGCACACTGGTGCTTTTGCATTAGAACCAAACGGAGTTCTGTGTATCAGGTACAAACAACTTTATGGGACAAGCCATCATCAAACAGCACAGCTTCTGCCATGACCTTTGTCGATGCAATTATTGTGCCAATACCGAGGGATCAAACATATTTCCAAAGCTTTCCGTGCCTGGTAACTCAAAACACTCTGTAAATTCCTACAATAAAAAACACCTATTTATTTGGATCATTGTTTTTCAGACACCTGGGCCCATGAGCGTGGGACGTCAACACAAACAGGTTGACATGCAGGCAGTTATGCACAAACAAATCCCAGCCTCAACCTCTCGGAATACGAGCCTCAACTGCAACAATCTCACTCAGACCTATTGACATATTGCACGCCTCCTATACACAAAGCCTTCCCTTATACAGTGTCCACGGGCTTCGGGTTATACAAAGAATACCAGGTTACAAAGCTGGTGGTTTCTTCCTCAACTATTTCAGACACAGATTCTTACAATTTGGTTCCATTCTTGTCATTTTTTGCCAGCTTTTAAATATTAACCTTTACACTGGAGGTTTCCAATGCTCTGCAAACACAAGACCAATGAATACAAGTTCATGCAGTTTAAGATTCAACTTCAGCAAGATTCCCCAAACACAACCAAAACAATTCTATTGTATTGACTCAATGCATATCAACCATAGTAACAACACAATACTTACAGTATTTTAGATGATGAATACCAATCCTACTGCAAATACTTTTTATGATTACTCTAAAATGATAAGGATTCTTTCCTACACTCAACTTCTCAGTATCAGAATTGGAGGTGTACAGGCATTCTACTGTACTAATAATAATCCTTATTTGATAACCTATATTGCTAGAACCTCTCAAAGTGCTTCACAGGTAATTGCTGGGGAGTGACCCTTTATTTTGTAGGATAATTCAGCAGCCAATTTGGACACGCAATGTTCCACAAACACCCATGAATGACCAATCTTTGGGGGGCCAGCACACTGGGACAAAATTCCCTTCACTTTTCGATTAACATCAAAGATCAATGCCAGAAACTGTCACAAAATATAGATGACAAAACACATCACAGAATGCTTCTGAATCATGAAGTAGCGCTGTTCAAAATCACCTACGGGTACCTGTGCACATGAGGTAAGTGCTGTTTCAGAGGCATGGTCAAAATCAAGTGGCACAGCAAGATAAAGGTCAGCTCCAGAAGTCACAAACCGAACTATAATCCCTGCACAAGCGCTTTGATGTGGTTTCCTCAAATCTCCCAATTGTTTCTTCAAAATGTACAAGTGGGTTTTCTGCTGTGGCCCACATTGCGTTAAAAAATTAAAACTCTACACCGTGTCATTTCCGTCTCAACTTATTATTTACTTTGCCACATAAGGGTCACCTCACAAAAATCCTGCTTCTGGTTTGGATAAAACCGATCAGAAAGATAAGATCAAAAAGGACTTGCACCTTAAAGTACTAGTTAATTCTCTTTGCTTGTTTCGATGCAATGCCATTGATCTACAAAGGTTCTATGGCTTGGAAGGTGTGCATTCAAAACCAACAATGTGCACGTCACAGAAGGAAATGTATGAATGCAAAATTCATCTCACGTCTACAGCAAAGTGGCTACTGGTCAACTACATTTTGATCAATTGATTGTCTTTATGTCAGAGCCTTTTCATGTCTCATAAGTTGACGGTAATCTGATCACTCTGTATAATATGCGAGAGTTAGTTACGTGCTTTCTTCACATTGTTGGTCATGATTCAACAGTTATCTTTCGATGCTTGTCAGTGTAAATGACTTCTCCAGTCACACTACTGCAGAATCAGGGCTTACCTGCCTTTACACAAAAGAGAAATTTGTGTTGGAGAATTTTAACCTACTGAAACCTATGCCAAACCAGCCACATTAAGGGTTAAAAAAAGATCAAAGCATGGCGATTGTGATATGTCTACAGTACTCATAGGGACCCTCTGGGCACCCACACACGAACATCATAGTTCTGGAATCAAGGGAACTTCTATCATTAGACTTATTGAGTAACATAATGGGCGCACACGACGGCTGGAGAAGAAAGTCAAAACCTGCACAGCCCTGGCTCAGGTGGCTCAACGCGTTGAGGTCAAACACAGCCTTTCATGTTCGTGACCTGGGTTCAGATCTCAGCAAAACTTTGGACTTCAGAGTACAGCTGTTACTGGACGTCGAAGACTATGTAAAAGGAGTTTGTCACTTCAAGGCTACCCCGGTGCACTGCCGGATCAACAAAGCCACAGATCTGAAATGGCCCTTTGTGATAAACAATTTGGTTTTAAACTTTTCTTTTTTTTTTAACACGCAAGATGTTTCCGAGAAAAATAGTCTTCTGACATTTGGACGTTTTGGAGAGCGCTGAGGTCTAAAGTGGTCCTATTGGGACCAAATAAAATACTTACAGCTTTTGCAAAGACGCCCATGAGCTCCGGGAACTGGTGCGTGAGGAGTGCGAGCATGGCAGTGAAGGAGCACAAGCCTGCTGTGAAGAGGATGAAGAATGGCAGCTCCTTCTTGGGATACACTGAAACTTCATGAAACGCTGGACATGAACAGACAGCATCAGATAGGTAGAGAGAGAAACAAATAATACAGACACAGTGCACACACACACACACACATAAAAAGCCGGAGAACACAACAGAAACAAATAGAAAGACAGAAATAAAGAAAGAAAGAGATAGAAAGAAAAAGAGAGAAATAAAAAGAGAAAGAGAAAAAGAAAAAGAAAAAGACAGACAGACAGACAGACAGACAGACAGAAAGAAAGAAAGAAAGAAAGAAAGAAAGAAAGAAAGAAAGAAAGAAAGAAAGAAAGAAAGAAACAGAAAGAAAAAAAGAAAGACAGACAGACAGACAGAAAGACACATTGCATAATTCCTCCAGTTTAGATTTTCAATTCAGAAACTAAACAAACAGCAAGCTTTCAGGGTTACAAGTGAAAATAATACTAATCAGGAAGGGTGTTGAAGAGATTGTAAAAGGGAAGCCCGTATTTCATTGCTGGGTTTTTATTTGATATAAAATTAGTTCGCTGAATAGCAGTTTCATACTGTGACGGACTCAGGAAGGGACAGGAAAGCTACAGCTTTGCCTATTATTTTCCACTACTTCCAAAATTACAGTCACTTTGTTTGTTCAGATTAAATTAATTTCCAATTATTGATTAGTTTTACTGCCAAAATGTGTCTTTTTATAAGTGTAACAATGACAACTTAAAGAAGGAAAGCGTGGGACTTAAAATCTAGAATTACCAGTCAATTCTGTCTCTGGACCCAATATGGCTGATTTGGAGAATCCAGATACTGGCTGAATGAGTGGCTTTAGGAGTTTCACACATTACAAATATTCACATTAAAAAAGTCAATATGAAGATTTTGAAGCACACTCAGCTATTAAGGACTGAGGTACACGCAAATGCCATTCTTGTCACTAAACTTACATGGCAGCAGTTCTCTGTCTGCAGTCTCTGTGCAGATTGGATATGGATAGAAAAGGTGACCTTTTTCCAAAGGGTAGGGGATCATTCGGAAAGCTGAAGGAAGAAGATTGTATTGAAGTAGTGAATGCATGTTGTGAAAATGCACCAAATTCCCAAACAGTTTACAAAGTCCCTACATCGTGCTCTTAATTTTTGCTCTTAATCTTGCTGTCTTGCATTAATTAGAGTGAGGTTAGTCTGCCTTAACTAGAGCAAGGTTAGCTTTCCTCAGCTAGAGCAAGGTTAGCCTGCCTTAATTAGAGCAAGGTTAGTCTGCCTTTACTAGAGCGAGGGAGCGCATCTTAACTAGAGTGAGGGAGCCCATCATCAGCATGGACTTGAATGTTTCAAGACTTTCCATTTTATCTTCAACCCCCTCCCACTCCACGCCCCACAAAACTTTTTTCCAATGCGATCCACACAACCCAACTCAGTTCCAACCCATTCGAGGAAGCTCATCCCAGGACGTTTCAGAAACGCAACTACTGAATCTTTACAAAGTGACGATTTCGAATGCCGATCAGAACACAGACTGACAAGTAACGTTTCAAGAGGCAGAGCACGCCCACATTTTAAGGCAATAAATTATTTGGAAAAAGGACATTTAAAACATTTGATTTTTCTTTTGTATATGAAGGAGAGATGGTCCTTCTGCTGGTAACTTTACAGCACTGACAAAGTGTGCGCACACACACACACGCACACAATCATCCAAACTGCTACTACAGGCATTGAAGTGTTGAACCGATGCTTCTTCAGCAACAGGGGAGAACACGGGGACTAATTTCAAACCATATGCGCACCAGGACTTTGATGGTGAATGGTTTCATTTTTGAGCTTAGATCAACCAGGTGGTTGATTTAACCAAGCTGGGGGGGGGGGAAGGTGAGCACTAAAGTGACCCAAAAATAATTGGAATGGTTGGGTCGTGGGATTGAGTTCCACAGGATAAATTCAGTTCCAGCTATATAGGGATTTATTTTATGGGGTTAAAGTAGGGAATTAAGTCGATTCAGGATTAGAAATATTCTAAAAGGATAATGGTAAGAGAATTGCACCCAGTACACACTACAGTGTCTCATTATCACTGATGCTGAAGACTGACTTACTGGTTACTCCAGATCCACAAGACAGGCAATCTGCATTGCCACCAAGTGGCGTATAATGGAAAGGCTGGTTTGTGGTATAGGCCGTGCAATTGCACAGAAACACTGGGGACATTGTGACAGGAAAGCACTTAGTGCTAGGTTATATCACTGTCCAGTTTATTTAATGGTATAAAAAGGACAATGTCATTTCTGCCAGGATGTCTCAGTAAACTGGCGTCAGCCTTGCGCTGGTAGCCAGAGCCACATTGAACGAGTGGTAACTGTCTTTCACAAATGGGAAAGTCATAGAAACAGCAGAGAAGTACGCTGGAATGGGAAAGAAGAAGTCAAGTTAAAATGTCCATCAGTGAAAAGCACTTACTTCCTTCCCAGGTACAGTGTAATAGGTTCAGAGCCCCTTCTACTCTCTTCCAGTGTTGAAGGTGAAAGAAGGAGTATGCTATGGCCTCACTATCTCCCCTCTTCAAAATGTGTTCAGGGGGTAGTATTAAACTCTTCATTTCTAATAAGTACTTAACACAAAAGAAAATATGTGTCAACAGAAAGGCAATGCAACAACATAGACCCTCAACTGTCTTTTCTTCCCCACATCCAAGCCATGACCCACTCTGCCTTCCCTCACCTCCGTAACATCGCCCTACTCTGTCACTACCTCACCCCTCAGGCCGCTGAAACTCTTGTTCATGCCTTCATCACCTCCAGGCTCAACTATGCAAATGCCCTGCTTGTCAGCCTTCCCATCTCCTCCCTCCACAGGCTGCAGATAATCCAGAACTCTGCAGCCCATATCCTCTCCCGCACCAAACTCTGTGACCCCATCTCCCCCATTCTCACCCGACTCCATTGGCTCCCTATCCTTCAGAGGATCCAGTTCAAGATCCTGGTCCTCACCTACAAAGTCCTCCATGGCCTCGCCCCACAGTACCTCTGTAACCTTCTAACCCCCACCAACCTGCCTGCTCCCTCTGCTCAGCCGGCTCCGGCCTGCTTCATGTCCCCCGACCCACCATTGGCAGGAGAGCCTTCAGCCACTCTGGCACCAACCTCTGGAATTCCATCCCCCAATCATTCCCCCTCGCCCTCTCCTTAACCTCCTTCAAGTCCCGCCTCAAAACCCTCCTCTTCAACCATGCCATCGGCTACCCCCCTTCCCCTCCCCTCTCCCCACCTGACCCCAGCTCGGGTCTGAAATGCTGTACACTGTCCAGCGCCTTGGGACGTCCTCCCGACGTAAAAGGCGCTATACAAATGTAATCTTGTTGCTGTATTTAGCTCAAAACCTTACACTGGCAGGTCCCTTACCCAAGGTCATCTTCCCCCAGTAATATTAATCTTTATAATAATCCTTGCATTTTGATAAAGTGCCTTATCACGTCTTCTAGACGTCTCAAAGCGCTTCACAGAATATACTGTAAAGTGAATTGACTGTATATTTGTGGGCGAAACGCGGCAACCAATTGTGCACAGCAGTGTCCCACAAACAGTCGTGGATTGAGTGACCAAATTATTATTATTTTTTAAATTCTCATCTCCCATTACCCCCTCCCCCCACCCAAGCTCCGGTGTGTGTTGCAATTTGAGCCTTTGATAAGTTGCTGAGTGTCTTTGGTTCCTCTGTTCTCGGGTCCTTTATTAAAAGTGGGCTGAATAGAATAAATTAGTTTTATTCTGTTCATTGCCCTGAACCCAACAGTAGTGGTGGTAGTTGGAAGGAATATTCCTACGACACTAATAGACACAAATTTAGAAAAATGTGTTTTCTTCCTCCTTTTCACTCTCTCCTCTTTTCTCCCCCCACCCTCCATGTTCCTTCTGCTGCCCAGACTGAAATCAGCTAACTCAATACAGACTTGGGACCTCTGTTTGTATGGTTCATCAACACATTGAAAAGATGCTACCCTTTGGAGGATGCTACCAACATTCCCCTCACCCACCCCAAGCTCCACTGTGTGTTGCACTTTGGACATCCTCCTGACCAGAAAACATTATATCAGTGTTAATTGTGATTGTGTTGATGTTGTTCGCAGAGGGAAAGCTGCCAGAAACGTTTGTGTGTCTGTAGATGATGAGGTTGTGTGTGTCTGTCAATGGTGAGAGAGTTTATGTACAAGCGATGGGTTTGATGGGTTGAATGAACTTTGAATGTCCATGCCTCCTGATGAGATTTTCCAGAGCAATGTCCACAGAATATTTTGACACTTCATTCCCAAAGGAAAAAAACAATCACGCTGAAGACAATGAAGGTAAGAAACACTTACTTTGGGGACATGTGGGTTAAATTCTACTGCCCTGTGTATTGCTTCTACAGCATTCATCTCTGCAGTGCTCAGCCCTCGCCTGGAGGCAGCTTCTGGTGAGAATCTAGGAGAGCGTAAGAAACAATTTCAGTATACAACATGAAACCATGAGGATTGGGCCAGTAGGCAGTAGGTAGTCCTGTGGGTCTGACTGCAATACATGCTAATATTGGGAAATGCTAAACCTTTACAGGAACGGCGAAGCACCTTTAAGTGAAGATCAAAACACGCCGGTGCTCCCTGTGCTATACAGGGGAATGGAACCCCATACTTCACCACACAAACAATTCTCAAAAGGTTTTCATATGTGATAATTCACATTTTGGAGGGCAATGTTAGATGTGCTGTTGGAGTCACCTATTTAAAGTCTAATCCACCAGAGCTGGTAGACCTTCAGTTAAGCAGTCACTGGAGCTGGTAGTTACTCATTAAGCACTGTTTGTCAGACATCCAATACAACATGAGAGGTTGGTGATCAGATTCTGACCTCAACATCTTTACAATGACAGGAGCAATATTCAGAAAACCAGCTCCTACATAGGCTGCAATATATGGAGGCACCTACTTGTCGGAGACAGCTCTCGCCTTCAGTAGCGCTGCTGTGTAGCATATTGTTGCTGACTTGGGTAAGCTGATGTCTGTCACAAAAGAAAGCAGGAAGCCATGAATCCAGGGATGCTGATTGCAACTGAAATATTAATGTCCCTTGTTACTCTGAACAACAAGTAATTTACAAGTATTACAATTATTATTATTGCTATAGAAGCTGTAACCTAACTGCTTCTATTTTAAATGTTAAGCTCTGCAACCCTCCCACTGTTCAGATCTGTTCTTCAAACAGGTTCAAAGCCTGAAAAGGTCAAACCTTCTTTTTCCTGATGGACACTGACCTTCAAGCATCACAGCCCACACGTCACTATTTTGTGATTCACTGTTTCATGCATGACAACAGGTTCGATCAGAGCTGTTGCTTAGCGCTGCACATAGTAACCAGCACAGCAGCAATGTGAGGTCGAATATTTGAAGGTCTGTGACTGGTGCAATTGGTCACATCTATGCTTCCCTGTGCACTGCCACATCACTCATTCAGAAATAGAGCAAAAATGCAACTTGCACCGAAAAGGCCACAAGTAGAAACATAGTGTGTTTCCCCAGATTATATCTGAAATGGGAAGCTGTAGAATTTATGGGGATTTTTAATCTGAAAACTGTACAAGACAGTATCTTCCAATAATTCTGCAACAATTTCAATCTGTAGCTCCCTTAACTAAAGTTTCAGTTTGAAAGCCAATGTAGCTGCAGACACAAAGCCTGCATTGTGTACATGCTTCCCTTTACCTTTTTGTAACATCCCAGCAGTCTAGCGTTGTGTGTGTGTGTGTGAAATAGCTATTTTCCCATTCAATGCAGAGCCTATAACATCGAAACGTCTCAAAGGGCTTAGTAATTTATTGCTGTCAAGTGCAGTGACTGCGCACTTAAAGGCCAAAGCGCCAGCCACCTTACACTCATGGAAGGCCCCCACCAAAGCACAACAGGGTAAAACCCAACAGGGACACCGGCAAATGTTACTGATAAATTATTCTGAATTAACAAGAAGTTACCACTCAAAGACGATACTGCAGAAACTGGACCCGCATTGCACTGAGATCAGAAACATAAACTCCAACTCTTGCTGCACGCATATCAAAGGCTCGAATTCCCCCATAGTCTTAGCTTGAAGATGGAGCAGAATTTTGGAAAAGTGCTCTGAAAGAACTGCAGCTTCCAAATTAAGACCGAATTGGAAAATGTTCCTAAATCTTTAAATCTAAAGTCTTACGGCTGGGAGCAACAAGGCATTTCAGACTCAGATGGACAAACACTGTCCTATGTTGCACTGATACTGCAGAAATATTTGCATTCAAATGTCAGTTTTGTTCCCTTCACAGGGTCAACAAACTTTCATTTGATAAACGCTCACAACTCACCGTCATATTTGGCTAAGACGGCCTGCACATCAGCGTACGCCTGCAGCTCTAACAGTGCCTCCAGTAAGTTTTCGTGGATGTTGAACATGCTGAGGAGAGGGAACTCTTTCATCAGCTGCAAAACAGTCAAATTATCAATTACACGGAGAGGAGTGGAGCTGGAGCATCCGTCCGGTAGCACATGAGAAAAATTTGGGTTAAATTAGAACGCAGAACAGACTGAACTAACAACAAATTACATTTATATGCACACTGTCTCCTTCCTGTAGGATGACTTCTCTGAGCGTTTTCCACTGGGATGTTCAATGCTGAGTTTGGTAGGTGACCACAGATGCAGTTAAAGAAAACTAGGCTTTTTGGCGTGATAGAGAAGGTGGTGAGACACAGAAGTAGAGGGAGTTGCAAAGGGAAAGGGTGGGGGTGTAGTTGTTGGGATTAACACCACTCGCGTTGCAGACAGATCTGAAGCTTGAAATCCCTCAAGGCCACTTAGACTCTCCATTTTCACAGAGCAAACCCTCAGGTTGCCTCGTCTCTTTCTCTTAGGATCCCAGTAGATTGAAAGAAGAGTATCTGACCTCTGGCTTCTGTGCTGCAACTGTCACTCCCAGACCCTACAGCACATACACGCATCGATGACGGTACTGAATAAAATGGGATTGTTTTTACCAGGAGACTGGCTGGCGTCCTCGATACCGGCTCAGTGAATAGTTTAATACCTTCTGACCCAGCATTTTACTCAAACGCCTGAGATGCTGGTTTTAATGCTCGAAGGAAGGAGTCTATTAGAAGGCGTTGCAAACAATATTTTTGTCGCAGTCCAAAAGACAATATTTATAACAATAATCATCCTCGCATTAGATATAGGGCTTCATCATGTGGAAACCGCTTTGAAGCGCTTCACGGAGCTTTTTACTCACGTCTCTCATCATTTTCACTGCTTCTCTTGTCCGCCCCAGCTTGCGTGCACACATTGCCAACCTCCTTTTAATGTAAACTAATACGTTTGTGTCCCGCCCTGAAAGACAGAACAAGCATCGCTTGGTCAACACGGTGCAGGAGAGGAATAGCAATAGTTCACCTCACTCGTCGCTTCTGGTTCAAGTACGCCCCAAAAAAGTAACATTTTTACAACGTCTTAGTTTGATGTACGCCTTGTCACATCGTCGAGACACCTCAAAGTGCTTCACAAGGTTTTGCTGTAAAGTGTAATAACTGTGTATTCTGTAGGTGAACACCTAGTTGAAGTTTATTGGAATTAACTTTTGATGTATTGAAGGGTCTTTCTAACCTTCTCTGCCTTTCATGTCAAGAAGATATAATAATAATAATCCTTGTATTTGATATAATGCCTTATCACGTCTTTGAGACGTCTCAAAGCGCTTCATAGAATATACTGCAAAGTGAATTGACTGTATATTTTGTGGGTGAAACGCGGCAGCCAATTGCACACAGCAGTGTCCCACAAACAGTCTGGGATGGAGGGAACAAATTTTTTTTTTTGAAGGAATTATTATCCCCAGAAAAGCAATCTGCCAATCGACTAACAAAGCAGAGGCGTATAGAGAAGGAAATTTGCCCAACGTTTCGCCCTGCTGATAATCGAACCCAGGTCTCGCTTGCAAGGCGAGTGCTCTAACCACTCCATAAAGTGCTTGACACTACTGGATAGGCACCCTAGCAGGGTTGGGGGGAAGGGGATGTGTGTGTCCCTGTGTGTGTGTGTGTGTGTGTGCATTAGGGAGGGCAGTGTGTGAGTGGGTCTGTGGTCTTGTGTGAGTGTTTGGGTGCGGGGGAGAGGGAGGGAAAGGAGGAGAAGAACATTCGTCACCTTCACACCACTCCCAACAGGATTTAAATATTCCATTGCACTGGTTGATAAACCAGGCCACTCCCAGAGCATGTGTGTTTGTAGCTCTATAGCTCACTGCGTTATGTGATCTTGGAAATGCCTCGTTCACTTATGCACTGAAAGAAAAGTTCTTTTTCTCTTTCATTTCTGTACGACAGCTCAGCTGTAAAAGCAGAAACTAAGATCCTCGTCCCTTGCCCCTCAGCTCACAGTCTGGCTCTCACAACCTGTTCAACCAGCAAAATCAATAATAATAACCAGGTACTAGACATGAACCCCATCCAAGTGGAGGATTTGGCCTGGCTGAGGAGCAGATACTTACTGTGCTGCGCTTCGTACTGGGTTCCATGGTGCTGCAGTTGCTGGCTACGTCTGTAACAAACCTCCCCTGCTTTCAGAGCTTGTTTAAAAAGTCTCTCTGCCTCCACAATGGTGGTAGCCTCCTCCTCAGCCAAAAGAATGTAGGCAGTGGCACACCTGCAAGAGACAAGCAGTTTGACAAACATTCACAGATCACCAAAGCCAGTAAACATTATTTCCCTACAGTTCCTGTTGGACTTAAACGTCCACTATCCATTGGTAAAGTGATGGGGATGTGGATGGTCTTGATTCGTAATGGGAGAAATTCGCAAAAGAAACATTAGGTTACATTAAGATGTTGACGCAAATACCTATGTATTTACTACACCTGATTCCACAGACAAAAACCCTAAAGAGACACTCACTCGTTTAATTCCAAGGCTTCGTGTGCCGCTGAAATTCTCGCTTGTGGGTTCCTTTCTCTCCAAGCTTTCTGCATTACTGTGCAAACAAGAGGGTTTTATTTAAAGAAAAGGTTAGTGTCCAGATAGAAATGAATAGTCGACAAGATAATAAGAATCGTAGAGTTTTTCGCCATAGAATCCTGCCAGCCTGTGCTGGCTCTCTGTAAGATCTTTCTGAGGTAATATCCTAGGCTCAAAACTCCACCTAGTCTTAGCCTACAAGAACATTTGGCTTTAAATCTAAGACCATGCCACAATTTATTTCACGAATTACTGAGTCAAGTTACTGAGTGATATTGTAGGCTATCGCACCAGCTATTTGCCCACAAAACTGGCATGTGCTGACTGACTAATTAATTTCCCCACCCCCTCAGCTCCCTCCGCCTGCCCAACCCCAAAGTTTAGATAACCAGTCAGCTGCACAAAAAACCTTTGAGGCATCCTCTCAACGTGAAAGGCGCTGCAGAATTGCAATCTGGAGGATTAGACGGAGTATAACGCAGGTAACCAGGGAGTGACCCCGAGAGGGTCGTGGTGCAATTTAAGCATTTTCCCTGATCTCTGAAGTTACTTTACTGCTTGAAATCATTACACTGCCCACTTAAAGAAACCTCGCTCTATTGATGTAATGGGAGCTCTGGCATCAGCTGGCAGAACCTCATAGTCTCCTTTAAAATATGGTGCGCCGCTAATGGGTAAGGCAACTAGGGAAAGCTCATCCAAAACACATTTGCACTGACTTCCTGGGGGAGTGGCTTAGCCAGTTAATATTATTAGGCAGAATCGGAATAACCCAGGGAAGTATCTGGCCCATTTTAAATAAACATCACAGTGATTCCGCACACGACTGATCAATGCCTCCTTGCACACTGCACACAAATTAATTCCACGTTGGGTGCAATCACAGCAAAATGGGTTCATTCGCTTTAACTCACTAACAGGAATGAACACACCCAGTTCCTTCCATCTAGCTTCTATCCGGTCTGTAACAGAGGCAAGAGACTAGAGTGCCACTTACATTGGGTAGACGTTCACAAGATCAGTGCGGTCCATCTGATCTCATCTTTCCATCCTCCCATCACAGCATCAAGCTTTTTTTTAAAAAAGAGTCCAATGTCCTGCTCTCAACCATCTTTCCTGGCAATCTATTTCAGTCAATGATTACCATAAGTGACGGGTGAAAATATTCTTTGGGGGAGACTGAGTAAAACTCAATTGAAGGGTCAGTCCCCTTCAAGTCAGGCAAGCCGTTGGCTTGACTGATGGGTCCGTTAGTTAATCAGAGGTGAAGTCGCCTTGACGAGCGACCCACTGGACTGGAAGTGGGTGGGCGCCGATGATGTATTGAGAGAGTGACAAGAGGGGGTCAACGGGTCCCACGGATAGAGGTTGCTTGGAGGAATGGCTGTGGTCCTCCTCAGAGCCTTCCCCTTCCAACTCCCCTTAAAGTGGCGAGCTGTAGATATATTTGGGGCGGGAGGGGCGGCTGAGCCCCCTCGACCCCTCGCCACCTGCCGCCTATGTCAATTACACTGTTTTGGCAAGGCGCATTCCACGATAAATGGGATTTCGGCACTAAGTGAACAATCGGTGCTGCCTTGTCACTTCTTTTTAAGGGAGACATTTATTTCAGCAAACCTTTTACAAATATGGTCCCCACTGAGAAAAGTTCAGGTGGATGTTAAGGACCCTATGGCAAGTAGTTTTCCTCCCAGTGTTCTAGCCAACAATCCCCCCCCCCACTAATAAATCATCAGTCAGGTACTACTGTGTGCAGACTGCCTGCTGCGGTTGCCTGCAAATACACAGTCACTACAATGGACAGCAATTCCCCTGAGATGCCACTTCGAGATGTGTCAGCATAATAGGAGCTATGACCAAAACAAGGATCATTATTAAGACGGCCCATGGGTTTGTTTTAAGCTGATTCCTCAATGCTGAGACTCCAGCACTCTGGCACCAACCAATGCCAGGAACACAGAATTAACTCATAAATATTTATTTGGCAGTGCAGACCGGCCTTCATGCTGCAGAATAAATTAGTAGCTTTAGTGCAGAGACGCAGCAAAACAGAATCAATATACTGAGAGATAAACTCCCAGCAGGGAGGACTGCATACTTTCAGTCCTGAATAATTCTGCGATCTGTTTGCACGCAAGCGGCATTGGAAACACAAAGGTGATCCAATTTCATTTGTCATGTCAAAGATAAGTAAATGTCACCAATGTCAGCTAGTCCAGATTCACATTAAGTTGCACAGACATAATAGATTTTAAAAAATAAGTGACAGTGTCCTGCTGTGTTTTTCTACTCTTGTAAATACATTGCCCTTTGTGGTTCACAGGGTGAAAGGTATTTTTTAAGATTCTCTACCAAGAACGATTCTCTGTCACAACCTCAAGCAAAATAAACAATCCACCGAGATCAAAATGGTCACAGTTATCAACTCATGTGGAGCAGATTATATTTGTGGTGTTGGATCAAAATATATATATATAATATATATAGACAAACACACATGCATATACACACCCGTGGGTGCTCAGGCACACACAAGATTTCATTTGGATAAAAAAACAATATTGGGAACAATGGAAATTTCATGCAACAAAATAAAATCATCAATCTTAACAAGGAGGAGGAGGAGGCAGCAGTTAACTGTGCCCCTTGGACACCCAAATTAAAAAAAAACAATCAGAGGAACCCCTAATATAGGGTTGTACAATTTTATCGTTTTTCTAAGGGTGCAGGAACGGTGCACCTTTAGATGGCTGGATCTATAAATCAAAATGGCAAACTGGTTTCCTTTTCCTTGACTTTATTTTGTTATAAATAGTTATTCTGTAGCTTTGATCTCTGTAAATCAATTCCCACATGTGTCAGCAGATAGTAAAGGCAGAACATGGAATTTGATAGGATTCTGAGAACAAGTAGGGGTGAACCAAGAGATCAGAGTTCTGACTTCCTTTAAGGGCTGTAGTGGAAACGAGTCAATTTGTGTTAGTTTAACTCAAATGAACAAGATTTCAAGATTGGGCTTGGATGAAGAGGGCCTTTTTACCCATCTGATCTCATCTTATTTTTAAAAAAAAACGAATCCAGAGTCCTGGCCTCAACCACCCTTCCTGGCAACCTGTTCTATATGTTAATTACCCGCAGATTAAAGAAATACTTTCTGCTGTCTGTCCTGAAATCGCCCTTTGCAAATCTTGTTCTAATGTTTTGGTGCATCCTAAATTATTGTTCTGGGTTTACTTCAGTGCAATCCTATTTCAAATTAGCTATGCCCCTGGGAGGTCCCCACTTTTTCTAAGTTGTCCACTCTCAAGACTGACCCTGACTTGAAACAAATATCAGAGTTGACACTGGAAGATTAGAGTTGCACGGACAGAGAGAAAAAGGGGTAGCAACAAACAAAATGAGTTTTAAAACAGACTGACAAACATAAAACCAACAAAATCACGAAGATACAAATAATGAATGGTAGTGAAAGGCGATGCTGATCCTCAAAGAGGAAATGAAAGCTCAGATCTGCTTGAAGGCACGTAAGGTGCTTCTGATTTTAGGATAGGAAAAAACAAAGCAAGACATGATCTTTTATAAAACTCCTGAATTTTGGATTTGGAGATTCTCCTTACTGGCATCTGATGGTCGCAAGTGATCGGTTTCACACGTGAAGAAAGTCTGGTGGTCCTGTGCGGAGAGATTCATGTCATAATACGTGAGAGGTTCCCTTCCTGTTACCCACGTATACCTTCAAAGGAATGGAACACCAGAATAAAACGGAACGACGAACAGGACACACTGCGTTACAACAGTATAACAGCTCGAACCTGACACTCCCCACAACCCACACAAGGGAGGGATGGAAGAGAGCGAAAGAGAGCGAGGAGAGAGAGAGAGAGAGAGAGACAGAAATAGAGAGATAGTAAGAGAGAACGAAAGGGAAGTCCCTCTGGTTGTAAAATTAAACAGAGAAAGGCCTCCAGATCAATAATAATAATAAAGGAAACATCATCAATTATTTTGCTTCCTGACTGTTTTGTAGAAACTGTAGCTCATGCAATCGATACAAGTAGCCCATAAACAAAAAGTCCCTCCCTCTTCCCTCATGATAATGATAAACATAATAAATAAATAGAATGAAAGTCCAAAATAAACTAGATAGATGTTGGATCAGTAGGAAAGGTTCCAAAGAGGAGATATTAGGCAAATCCTTGGCTCTTTCCTATAGACTGATAAAGAAGGATCTGAGCCCAGCTTCCCACAAACAGACCTTCCAGGAGGGGAAGTGCTAGCAATTCAAGTAATATTGTTGTTGTTGGGTTGGTACAACCCTCTAAGGGGTGATGATAAATGTCATGCTCAGCTCAATAAAAGATAGTCAGTGTAAAATGAAATCAAAGCTTGCACCGACCGGGTTGCTTGGCTTAAATAGGTGACAGGGAATTACAGTACTTACCGATTGTACTCTGCTCCTCGGAATAGATTTAGTGGATTTCGCCACACCTTGCACTCTGTCAGAGTGAACAGAAGACAATTAATGGTTTGTCCTTCACTGCTCGGGAATGAACACAACACAAAACGTTTCATTTCAATTCTTTATTCGGGGACCTGGGTTCGATTCCCGGACAGGGCAAAATGTTAGGCGTAAATTTCCTTACTATTCGCCTCTGTTTACCTAGCAGTAGGTAGGAACCCGGTTGTTAATCGATTGGTAGACTGTTTTTCCGGGGGTTAATAATCCCTTCAAAATTAAATAAATAAAATAATAATAATAACTTGGTCACTCAATCCATAACTGTTTGTGAAACACTGCTGTGTGCAATTGACTGCAGGGTTTTGCCCACAAAATATACAGTCAATTCATTTTACAGTATATTCTGTGAAGTGCTTTGAGACGTCTTGAAGACATGATAAGTGCATGGAGATGGTGCATCAAGCAAAGGTGACATTGGGCAGGTTTAGGAGAAACAGAACCCTTTTCTTCTGAATATCTCTTCCCCCTCCACATCCTGCAGACCACCCATTCACTCCAGTAAAGAAAGCGAGAAGGAATGAGAAGAAAGGGAGAAGGAATGAGAAGAAAGGGAGAAGGAATGAGAAGAAAGGCAGATTAAATACTGAATCCTTGATTCAAGAACTGCAAGTCAAGACTCACAACTCTTTCTGTGGGCTGCGTTAACCTCAATTATTCAAGGCAATTGGCTTTGGGCAAATTCGTAATTACGAGTCTTTATCTGCTACACAAACTGAACTCCTTCAAATAATGAAGTAAGGGATAAGCCAACTCATCTCTTAACAATCACTCCTCTGAGGAACTAATTTGCTATCGAGCACTTGTGCATTGAATGGGCTTCGAGTATCACGGCCTCACCAACGCAACATAATTGGACCTGGAGCAGCCTCTTCATTGACGAGAGACTCGCCGGGTCATTCACTAAGTTACAAAAGCACCTGCGCCATTCAAGCCATCCTGCATAATCTTTGCCAGAATTATTTCTACACTATAAGTTACTTCACATTATCTCCCCACACCCCCCACCCACACGCCCCAACCCCTCTTCACTTTACTTGAATGTAAATCTGGATTTGAAGGATTAAACAGATTTAGAAGATTAAAGGTGATCAATGTGAAAATCACGGGCTGCTGGTAAAAGCGCACGGATCAGGCTGCCTGTTTGGAGACGTGATGGTCCCCTTTTCTGTCCCTCAACTCACCCGACTCTTCCACTCATTCAGGAACTCAAGAATCAATTGGACTTTCGTAATCTTAAACAAAACGAAAAGGCTCGGCTCTGTCAGTGAGTTACCAGAGAGAAAAAACGAAGACCTCGAACAGCCTCACAGGCACATCCTACTCTAACACTGCAATGCCGAGTGGAATTTGCAACAGTTACATTACGGCCCTCTAAATAAGAGCATTTGACTGATCGCAATGGACCTACTGTAAGGTTCGCTAAATTAAAAGTACATTTGTTTTGATTTTAAAAGTAAAATCTTTTAAATCCGTTCACAGCAGCGTTTTAAGCCACAAAGTGAACAGAGGAAAAGCAGCTCTCATCTGAATCCTTATGTTGCCTCTCACAGCAATAACGCACAGTTTCACTACTAATGTTCCCTTGTTCCACTGCAAGTTACGCTACACTAAGGAAGATCCTATGCATTTTCAATGCTAAAAGGAATCCAAAGCAGATTGATTTAAATTCCTTCTGATCCTGCTATTTTCTGCTTTGCAAACATGTTAAACTCCTACTTTGAGAACAGCACAGTATTGAGTAGGTCCTAGTGGGTACTCCGCTAAGCATCCTATTGACCAGCTATCTTCATGACTTTTAGGAAGGACCTTACTCACAAGCCTGATCTTCACACCAGTTTTCTAAAATGCTCCTGATAATAATAATAATCCTTGCATTTGATATAGTGCTTTTCACGTATTCTAGACGATCCAAAGCGCTTCACAAAATATACTGTAAAGTGAATTGACTGTATATTTGTGGGCGAACACGGCAGCCAATTGCGCACAGCAATGTCCCACAAACAGTCATGGATTTGAAAATGACCAATTTTATTATTGTTTTTGTTTTTTTGGAGGGATTATTATGGAGGGATAAACTGTGCTCTTGCAGCACGGAAGGAGGTAGTTTGGTCCATCATGCCTGGCGCTGGCTCTCTCAAAGAGCCATTGGTTTCCGGACGTCTGCTCAGTGACTGGAGTTCAAACCTCAGGTGTTGAACTGATATCAGTGCACAAGCTCCCCCTTGTGGGCACGGAGGATGGTGTGCGCTGGTTATCCAATTCACTGTTTTTGCCCAGTGTATTAATTACATCACATGAATTCAGACAGCGGAAGGCTAGACATGGTAGAAATTAAAGCACAACGGTCACTGCATCAAACTAAATGCTGGTTCGCTGCCTGATCCGTCCCAGTGCATTTTAAACCCGCCTTGAACATAGGCGACTCCCAAAACTGATCAGGTTCCTGTCCCAAGTTTTAGATCCTGCGAACGCACGGACGTGTGCACACTGGCGGCTAACGTCACAGCCCGGAGACTCGGAAATGAAACTAAAAGCACAGACAGACGTTTAAAGCTACTCGGACGATCATCTGATCGTGCCCGAGCGAGCGTAAGTGACGTTGCTCACCTGACACGCTCTGTCTGTTGGAGTCAGAATCTCCGTTGTTGGAAGTGGAGTGGCTCGGTGTGGTGTTGTCCACTCCGCCCAGCAAGGGCCGCAGGTGGCTGACCGATACCTGCTCAATAAACGACGTGCCATACTTTCGGAAGTACCACCATTCAAATATCTGCAACAACAAATTACATTTGTATATAGCGTCTCTCAAGTCCGGAGGATGTCCCAAGGCGCTGGATAGTTAGGGAATTGGACCCAAGCTGGAGGTGGAGAGCAGGGAGGGTAGAGGTAGGAGGATTTCTGAAGAGGAGGATCTCGGGAGGGGCCTTGAAGGAGGCGAGGGAGGGAGACGAAGGGATGGAGTTCCAAAGGATGGGGGCGGAGAGGCTGATGGTGGTGCAGGTCAGGTGGAGGATATGGAGGAGCCCGGAGCCTGCTGAGCGGAAGGAGTGGACAGGCTGATATGGTGTTAGCAGGTCACAGAGGTAGGGAGGAGCAAGGCCACGGAGGGCTTTGAAGGCGAAGATGAGGATTTTTAACTATCCTCTAGGGGATGGAGAGCTTGTTGAGCCGGGCCAGGATGGGGTTGATAGGATCGTGGAGCCTGGTACGGGAGAGGATACAACCTGCAGAGATTTGATCTACAGCTTGTGGAGGGAAGACTTGGGAAGGCCGACAAGCAGGTAGTTAGCGTAGTCAAGCCTAGATGTAATAAATGTGTGGATGAGGGTCTCGGCGGCCTGAGGGGTGAGGCAGTGGCGGAAGCGGGCAGTGTTGCGGAGGTGGGGGAAGGCAGGAACGGATCATGGCACGAATGTGGAGTAGAAAGGACAGTTGAGGGTCAAACAAGACACCAAGGTTCCGTCCTGGCTCAGTGTGGCGCAAAGGACAAAGAAACGAAAGCCGATGCGTGAGAATCTGACAAGGCTCCCCAACAAAATGCACAGTGGATACGCTTTACAGTAAATCACATGAAGCATTCTGAGATGGCTTCCTGAGGTGAAAGGCGCTGTGTAAAATGTAAGAATTATTTTCAAGAACAACAAAATATACAGAGCCACAAAAATGGTTTTACATTTTTTTTAAAATGCATCTTTTTTTTTAGAAAACAAGTTATTTACTCAAAGAGGAGAATACAAGACAACAACTTTCATAGTGGCTTTCATGTCAGGAGGACATCACAAAGCGCTTCAAACGGTTGAAGGTTTTAAAAGGCTTTACTTCCTCTCGTTGCAACATAGGATCATTATATTAATAACAATAAACCTTGCATTTGATTTGGCACCTTATCACCTCATTAAGACAAGAGTCAGAATGTTTAGTTTCAGCACCAGAAGAAATGTTGATTTCTGTTACACAGCAGGCTGGAATGCAGAATCCATTTCCACAAATGATTGTGGAAGTCACATTCATAATACATTTAAACACCACATTTACACAGCAGGAGAACAGGAAGACTTTTCCAAAATTCACAGTCGCTAATTTTAGTCCATCATGTGAAGCGCTTTGAGACATTCTCCAAACGTGGAAGGCACCATATTAAATACAAGGATTACTATGATAATGCCCGATTACATCTAATAGCAGCTCACAAGTGTGGAAAAACAGTGTTATAAACAAAATATACTCTTCTGCGCACAAGTAGGCACATCACACATCCCACACCTGCCGGCTCCGGACCATAAGTCTGAGTGTAAGCCACTCACCATGAACTATTTCATGGTGATACGCAAAGTGAGTCGGCAGCACAAAGAGTCTTAATCTCAAAGGGCAAGAGATAATAGCACTAAATAGTCGAATGAAACACCCCCAGCTCCAATGGAACGAGAATCAGAACTGTCTGTACCCCACAAATTTCTGTTAGCAGCATCGCAGTAACTGAGCCCAAAACAGGCTAGTGGAGAATGTCATAGGCAACATCTGAGTCACTGCTTTGGCTGATACAAAGTCTTTGGTAACTGAATTCCTAAAATCTCGCTTTTCTTCCCCCTCCCCCACTTACCATGTCTGCCCTGTTAGAAACCAAAGGGATAAAAGGGAATCGTACAATGTCAACTCCATTCTCGACAGGGGCTCCACAACTTTAGAACAAATTTTTTTGTTTCTGTACACGAGGCAACGCCCCCCCACTCCCAACCTCCCCGATCTGAACTAGGTAGTGCACATCAATAAACAAACACATTATAAATAATTACTCACACGGCACTTAGGCTCTTTAATCAGAAGGACGTCCACTTACCAGAATAAGCCCCGAGATCAGGGATGACGTGCCCGTTAGGGCGACGTAGAATTTGGGGGTTAAAGTATTCAAAAACATGCTCACTGCAAAACAAAAAGAAAGGTAAACGTCAGTAAGATTCACCTTCGGATCACAAAGATGAGGTTCTGCAATACTTGGGGGATAAACACCCGGAAACTCGATCCACCTTCAGCAAAGTCAAAAGAATCCAGTTAAAATTCCTGTCAACTCTTGGGAACATGGCTCCGGAAGTAGATTGTGAAGTCTCAATTTGCACAACTCGCATCCGTTATTAAGGGATTTGTTTAAGAACCCCCGCAAGTTAAGCCCCTGTATCTCTGTCAGTTTACAGAATACACACCATAGACTTTACTGTACTTTACTTGCCATTTACAAACACTTAGGCTCTTTGCAGCATTTGAGCTGCCTGCAGAGATCCCAAGATTGGTTATGAAGAAGGCCCTTCAGCCCATTTGATCTAATCCTCCCAGAATACCAGACTACCCTCTTCCAGAATACCAGCCTAACCTCCTCCCATCACAGCATTGAGGTGTCTTGTTTAAAATGGGTCTAGTGTCCTGGGCTCAATCACCTTTTCTGGTATCTTGTTCCAGTTATTGGTGTTTGTCCTGAAATTGCCCTTTGCAACTCTAAACCTATGTCCTATGTATGCTTCTGGGTCTACTTTTTTCAATCCCATTTAAAATCTCTTATACCTCTATAAGATTCCCTCTGCAAAGTCTCATTTTAAGACTGAAGAGCCCCAGGTTGTCTAATTGTTGCTCATAACTCATTCCATTAACACTGGGGATCATCTTTGTTGCTCTTTTGTGCCCTGTCTCTAGGGCCCTGTGCAACTATAATTGAATAGCGGAAATTAGCTGTTCACATATACACACACACACACAAATACACGTGCTATAGGGTGCATTGAGCTTCCACTTTATGTTATGAAGAACTTAGTTAATTCACACATCTGGGAGTTCAGGTCTTCCTGTGTGATTGCAATTTATCAGCAGGAACCCTTTAGCATGTTTTCAAATCATTTGCAGAGTTTGCTAAACATTGCATTTTAATTTTTTTGCTTCATCACACCCACGTTGTATAAATACTCCCTCAGGAATCCCTGCAGAATGTGCTTCACTCCCAAGTGACCACCCTCAAGGGAAAAAATCATCTATTTTTCTCTAAATATCACGTGTCCCCAGACTCACTCCACCCATTGCAACATCAAAGACGCTTTTTAAACCAACTCCAGTGGACCCGCTGCTCAGACAGTATTCCATCCTTACAGCCCTGGTGAGGAAGACTGTCAATGCTGCTTTGTCATGTGTGTTTGTGCTCACCAGATTGTCCATCTGGCTTCAGAGCCCAGCCGGCGACAGAGCTAGGAAACTGACATTTGATTTGTCTGAGCTTGATTCAAACCCAGGTTTGCAGTAGCGAGGAGTTTATAAATAAATTAATATACAGTAAATTTGATATAGCGCCTTATCACATTCTCAGAATCTCTTGAAGCGCTTTGCAGGATTTATTGTGTAGTAATTTGGATGTTCTATGTGAACGGATATAAATTTGTCCACTGCAAAGTCTCACAAAACAGTCACAAAGTAAGTGTTATCAATTATAGTTGGGAGATTGTTGGCCAGGACAACAAGAAAACCTCCCTTCTCTTCTCAAATAGTGCCATGGGAGTCTTGAACATCGACCTGAACAGGCAGATGGGAACTCGGGTTAACATCTCATCCGAAGGATAGCACCTCCAACAATGAAACATACTCCCAGTATTGGAGTGTCAGCCCAGACTGTGAGATCAGAGTCCTGACATGGGGCTTGAATCCACAACCTTCTATCTCAGAGGCGTGTGTGCTGGCAACTGAGCCAGGCTGAGATGTGTACTTTGTAGGCAAGCTCGTTCTGCAGGCTAGATTTTGCGTGGTCAATGCACCACGTTATCTAACCAAGAAACACAGATATTATCAGAGAGATCAGTAACTAACACAGTACCACAATTATTTAAGGCACAATCAAATACATTTACATCAAATGAAAAGTGCTTTGCATGAAGCTCATGCGTTTAAACAGCTGATATCTCTTTATCGCTTTCAAACGCAACTGCAAACGCAATGGCCAGGACAACAAGAAAACCTCCCTTCTCTTTTCAAATAGTGCCATGTGGGTCTTAAACATCGACCTGAACAGGCAGATGGGAACTCAGATTAACATCTTGTGGAAAGGATAGCGCCTCCAACAATGAAACACACTCCCAGTACTGGAGTGTCAGCCCAGACTGGGTTGAACAGTCTTGGTTAGAACTTATTGCAATTGCTTTGCAGTTTTTCTCCTCCTCTCCTTCCTCAGAGCTGCTTTGTCCCAGGGATTGTGACTCTGGGCAATTCCTGCAAACATACACTTGCTGTACTCCAGTGTGAATGAGGAGTTACTGGTTCTCTGGCAAGCACAAAACACTAACTCTGTCAATTACCGTACTCTTCTGTGTGTATGTGCAGTGTGATGTTTCAGTGGAAAATTATCAAACCCGCTGCATGTGTGAGAGAGACATCTTGACAATGTGATAGGCGCTATGTTAAATGCAAGGATAATTATTATATGGCAAATGTGTAAAGTGATGACAACAGCTGTGTCAAGTGATGACGGCTATGTCAAGTGATGGATAATTATATTTGTACATTACCCAAATGGTAATGTTTTGGTAATGTACAACTGACAAGAGAAATGAGCACGGTTACAGGGCACTTCTGATAGGACAATCCCAAGATTGCATCTTAGTAGCCTCTTAAGCTCTAAACCAATCTTTCCATTTGATATAGTCATTACAACATCTAAAACTTTTAGAGTAATTACAGTTACATGTAGTGACTATGTATTTGTAGGCGAATGCAGCCAGCCAATTTGTGCGCAGTATCCTCTCCATCAATCCCCCAAATAAAATTGTGTCACACATTTCATGGCTGTTTGTGAGAATTGCTGGGTGCAAATTGACTGCCAAATTCACCCACACATATACAGTTACTCCACTTTACAGGATGCCTTGTGAGATGCTTTGTGAAGTTTCAGGACTTGATAAGGTGTTATTATCAAATGCAGGACTTATTATTTTTAGTATCGTGACTGCTGCAGACTTCCTCCTCACAGCCTTCAGAAGAGGGATAAAATACAACAGATGAAAGTAAAGAATAAAGAAGTAAATATTTGATGGATAGAGTTTCCTGGGTCTGCCTGCACCATCCAGGTGCTTCATTTAGTTGTCTTATATTCTCCCTCTCGCCCCGAGACAGGGATTTGGCAGATATACCCAATGGTCTGTGTTAAGTGATGGAGGTATTGCAATACCATCTCTTCACCTAACTGTACAGCCACATTACCCAGAGAATAATCATCAACAACAACTTGCATTTATATAGTGCCCTACATGTGGGGTAGTATCCCGGAGTAAACGCCTACTCTTTCCTAATCACACTGTCACTTTCTTAAGATCTCTTCACCTAACTGTACTTTGACCATTCCACAGAGGGACACTGTGGGTTAAACAACATCATTACACTGAGATGCATGTACTTTTTTTTCTTCAAAGAGAACATGCTTGGGTTCAAAATCAGGAAGCTCAGGTTAATAAACCTGCTAATTGTATCAAGACCAAAGATGGAGCACAGTTCCAAGCAGCATTTCAGCTTTCTTCAACAGAGGAAATTAGCTATGTATTGCCATCTGTTTCAGGTTAGATGGGTGTCTGCAGAGGGGTGTGGGAAAAATGTTTACCGCTTGATGGATGCTTGTTATTCTTGGACTGTATTTTTCTCCATAGATGCAAAGCCAAATCAGATACATCTACAGAATGGAATTTGAGGAAATAGCTTGGATGGCAGAGAGAAGAGTGCTCCATTTTTGGTTTTGGTCTTGTTTCAATTATAAGCAGCTTTAATAACCCAAGCTTCCTGATTTTGAAATCATTCATGTTCCCTTTGAAGAAAAAAAATGTACATGAATTCTCTGTGCAATGACGTTGCTTGATCCACAGTGTCCCTCTGTGGAATGGTCAAAGTCGCTCTGGAGTTAACACTACACTGGCAATGTTGAAAGATAAAAACGTCAGGAAGCTTTAGATGGATTCTGAGGAAATGCTGGCAGATATTCAGTGATTATAACAACTCTGTGAAGTAACCGTCTAAACAAGCACATTTGGATTATGGATCAATTCACAAGCCCCTGTTATTTCATACTTTCACCCCGCAACAACAAACATCTCACAATTATTTAGCGGTATTTAATATAGTGCCTGCCTTACTACATTGTTGAAACGTTTCAAAAATGTTCACAGGATTTACAATCGTGACTGTATATAAGCAGGCAAACTACAGCCCAATTTGCGTACAGCAATGTCCCACAAACAACCATTAAGTAAACAACCAACTTTATTTGAGAGATTTTTGGCAAGACTCCAGGGGAATGTTGCAATTCTGACAAAGTTGCATTCTCCCCAGCACTGCACTGGAGTGTTGGCCAAGACTGAAAACGCTGTGTCCTAACATGGGGTTTGAACCCACAACCTTCTGACTCAGAGCCAAGAGTGCTACCAACTGAGCCAGCCTGGTACCGGCAAAAACATTACAAAGATCTCAACTATTATTTCCTCCAGTATAATGAAGGTAATCATTGGAAACCTGATCCACAGTAAGCCAATTACATCATTAGATTAACTGATTTAGGCAGATAGAAGATTTACCTGGAGAATGAAGCCTTTAAGGACTGTCCTGAGACTCAACACACAAAATAATTTTTGAAAGCCTTGTTCAGATGGTACCATCAATTAAGAAATGTTGTGTAATTTAAGGTTAACTGAACCTTTCCTCCAATCTACAAATGATAATCTTTTCAGAGCTTCACAGAGAGCAAATGAATACTCAGCAAACACTGTCAGTGTTTTGATATCCCATGTGGGCTCTGCGCTTTGAACGCCCAGAATACACATCTCTTCAGGAAGCAGGGTTATCCAGATCAAAATGAGAACCTCAAAAGTTCAGAAATAGGGTAAAAAAAAGCACGCTCACATTTCTGATGTCTG